ATAACTGACAGCCCCCGTTTAAATGCCTCTTTCGAATATCGATAAAAACCCCGGGTAATACAAACGTAACAACTGCATATCCTCCCACTGTTGAGAAATTTTTATCAGCCGGTACACACACGCGGTACAATATCCCGCTCACGAAGCGCGCAATATCAGCAGTAGGAGTTTTTTTTTTTTTTTTTTACGCGGACTTTATTGTCGTTTCTGTTTCTTTCGCCCTTTCTCTGCGCAACACAACGTTTAATAAACGAGACAGATAGTACGTGTCGTAACGGTAAATCCGCCGGTCTCTACCGTATTGATATCCCGGCGTTCATCGATTCGGAACCGCAATGCGAGTTGCCGTCTCGGGGCTACAGATAACGTTGACGATAATTTATCGCGAGCGCAATAAATACCGGCAATTACCCCCGGGCGAAATTGCGATATATATTTTTTGTGCGATTCCCCCGTATTCGTTATCTCGAGCCTGTATCTTTCGCGTCGAAGTGCACGTGTTAACCTTCGTGCGATATCGATGCAAATGCGCTTCGTACACGTGCCTATATGCGAAAATCATATCTCTAAAAATTCACGAACGCGCGACGTTCGCGGAAAATGTAAACGGCGCGGGCACGGCGAAATGCACATGTATTTTCCAAGTGAAGAATATTTCGAGCAACTTAACATATCGCGAGATAAAAAAAAACTTTCGAAAACTTAGCAAATGACCGTCACCTGTGGAGATAACGCAGCGGAAATGTTTGTGAGATTAGAAATCGTTTTGGAACAAACTCTCGTTCTCTCTCTCGTGTAGTATCGGAAAACAGAACTTCTCAAGTCTGAACTATATAATTACGAAAACACAGAAGAGTCATCCGAGCGTTCGAGAGCCATCTCGAGCAACACCCCTTCGATGTTCGCCGAAGATGCCGATACATATCGGCCGACCCTGGCGACCCCCGACGAAAGTGCGGGCTTTGCTGGAAAAGGCTTTGAAAAAAGAGCCGAGAAAACGCGCACGCGAGGATGCCAAGATGGCGTCGTGCAGGCCGGACCCCCGATATACGCGATAGACAGGGTACGCGGGGGACGAAAGAGAAAGAAAGAGAGAAAGAGAAAGAAGGAGAAAGAGAGAGAGAGAAAGAGAGAACGTGCTGCAGGAATGGAAGCCGCGCAAGAAGAATGGGGATAATTGCGCGCGAGGCAATGCACGAGGCTCCTCCCCTTATTCAAGCCTAAAGCCTGCAAGTGCAAGTGCCAAGCTGCTCACTTTGCGGTGCGCACATATGACACGTTCGACCGCTCACGACGCGCATCTCGTAGCGCTTTAACGCGGCGCGCTCCGCCTTTGTGCTGGAATAAGCGTGAGTTATGCGTCGTATATGCGCAACGTTCGTAATGCGCGCGTATGCGTGAACGTATGTATTTGCAGTCAAACAAATGCACTCCCAATAGGAGTCCCTGGAAATCTGACTCACACTCGACGACGCACGTCGCATATTGATCTTTTTTTTTTTTTTTTTTAAAGAAGAGAAACGCAGTTTTTGAAGCACAGTAAAAATATTTGTTAAACCGTGTGTTTTTTTACAAGTAAACTTGACCGTATTTCCTTCTTTTTTTAATTTAAGATCGTCGATATTTTTACTTACAACATTATCGTACAAACAGAATAAAAAACAAACTTTTAAAAATTATGAAAATAAAATATATTTTAATATACTTCGTTAATTTGTTTATACGCGTAATAACGCGCGCGCGTATATATTATTTTAACACAACATTAAAATATATAAAACAATGTATAATATTATTCTACATATGTAAGCTTAAAATAATAAAAAAAAAAAACATCAAAATCGGACGCGTATATTTTTTCGTCTCGCGTTTCAATATTCCAATAAATAATATTCTTTTGTTATACGATTTTTTTGCGCAATTTAATAAATGTGCCGCCATCTAGAGAGAATACACGGTAAGATCTTCGAATCGAACACATTTCTATCGGTACGAATGTAATTATCTTCACCAAATCAGTCCCCGTTGAGTAAAATATATTATGTTCGCAATTTGTTAATGACAAATACACAGGTGCAATCACAGGCAGCAAGCACAAAACATTTACTAAGCGCTCGATGGTCGATCGCGGCCATTTTGTTGGCGCTCGCGCGCGTCTCGCTCTCGTCACGATATACGATTTTATTTCGTCAATTATCAGCGAGAGTGCGGAATGCTAGTTACCGCAAATAACCGTCATTTTGCGACATACACGCGCTACTGCTATTCGCGCGCGAGCGATAATCGCGAAAACCAAGAAACAATTCGAACAATTCAAGTTTTATTCGCACGTTCGGTCGCGCCAATCTCGCGTCGATCTGAATATATCGAATCGCGCGATATTGCGATTCTCGAAATCTATCGACGCGACGCGCGCGGCAGCTCGCGATGATATTCACATTCGTGGAATTTTACACACCCGTAGAAAAAATGTATAAGCAAACCATGTAGCGTTTGTATATTATTAACAAAAGCAAAAATTGCGTATATTGCGATCTAAACAGATAGGGTACTCACTCTAATTGCACCCCTTTAGCCTAGCCGCATCTAGCACGGAGATGTCCGGAGATCGGATGCTGCGGCTTTGCTCGTTCTCACCCGTATTCTTTTCCCAGTCGCATTGTCGCACATGTTGCATAAAGTCTGTTTTTTTTTCTTTTCACATTGTTCCTTGTATTTTGTTTTTCGAACACGATCTACGATCCCTCGCTCACTCTACTAATTACGTAGTTACGCCGCCAACGCGCGCGAAAGCGGGAACGACCCGATTTCACCGCAACCGACACTCAACGACACACGCGAGACGCGACAATAATCGCGAAAAATGCGACAATTCGAGCGAAATTCTTGTCGCGCGTCGACCATTTTGCGTGGGCGCTTCTTGCGGGAACGCGAACGACATTTCGGCGTGCTAAATTAACGGTTACCGGCGAGCGCGCGATGCTAATTTTACGTATCGCTGCGAACACTTGCGAACACACGCGTATCACAGATATTTGCGCGCGCGGAACGACGAAAATCGCGAACAATGCGGAACAATTCGAACCGAATTCTATTCGCGTCGCGCCGGTAGTGAAGACTGCCCGCGCGCCGCTCGAGTAGATCGAAGTACGAGACTTTCGAGAATCGAAGTATCGAATCGATGCGCGCGCAGCGTAAACAAAACCGCGCGCACGTCACGCGGCGTTCAAAAACACACATGCGATACCAGAGAGAAGACTGACAATGAGAGCGGCTAGGCTCGTAAGAGAGAATGTGTAATCGCTTTTCTGCCCTGTAGGGGCAACATAATGTTCATAAATGACGATGGGTGTAGTTAGCTTCAAATTTTTAAAAAAATTAAATAATGTTAAGACATTAACAATGGCTGTTTGAAGCAAAACACTGCTGATGATCCACTTACTTCGTAACTCGCTGAGAGTAATTATGTGAAGTTGTGTCAAGTTTGATTCAAGAACTTTTTAACTATGTCCACACGTATGTGATAAACACCACTATTTTGTTTACTTATATTGAAAAAGGCCTAATTCGAAGACCGAAAACGTTATATATTAGACAATTAATAAATTAAAGAATCTTTTAAGAGGCTCCGAAGTTTCCAAACTAATAAATATATATATTCGGTCATGAGAGCCGTTCGCTAGGTGTTGTGCGGAAATTATACGTGTATATATATACATATATACGTGTTCACGTGTAAATTTTTACACGTAAAATTCGAATTGTAATAACAATTCTAGCATCCTATATGAATTTTAGAATTGTTATTACAATTCGAATTTCACGTGTAAAAATTTACACGTGAACACGTATATATGTATATATATACACGTATAATTTCCGTACAACACCTAGCGAACGGCTCTCATGACCGAATATATAGTTATATATAGTTATATATTATATAGTTATATATAGTTATATATTAGTTTTCTCAAATAAAGTAACACACTTTTACATACACATCATCAGCAGTGTTTTGTTTCAAACAGCCATTGTTAATGTCTTAACATTATAATGTTCGTAACCGATTTAAATACGAACCTAACCAGTCAAGATATGAAACTGACCAATACTTTCTATGTGAACCCCTTACCGATAAAAATGTGACTCTATCCGATCAGAAAGTGAAGCTAACCGACTCAATATGAACCTATCTGAACGAAATATCAATCTAACCGGTCAGAATGTAAAACTAACCAGTCAAGATGTGAACCTAACCGGTCAGTATATGAACCTGACCCATCACTATAGCCTGGTTTATGCGAGCAATAATTGTTAACTTATGCCGGAACCGGTAGAGTTTAACTATAGAATTTCAATGCTTCTGTTTCATACAAAATTGCCGAATGCGTATAAACAGAAGTATTGAAATCCTATAGTTAAACTCTATCGGTTCCAACATAAGTTAATAGTTATTGCCCGTATAAACCAGGCCTATGTGAACCCAACCGACTTTACGCCCGTTTCCACCATTTCCCATTAACTTAATCGGCCGATTATTCCATTGAAAGTGCCAGTCGCATTAAAATCGTATAGCAGAATGGACCAATCACAACTGACACTTAATTGCCAATTACGTTAATCGGAGATGATGAAAACGGTCGTTGCTAGATATGAACCACTCAGGTTGTGAACCTCTAACCGGTCAAAGTGTGAACCTTTCAGAATGTGAACAGAATAGAACCGCACGCTGTGGACATAGCGCGGAATAAAACCATGTCCACGTTTGGACACAGACACGCACCGTCGAGTCGCTCGTGGTACATGGTTGTAGTTACTATCACGCACCACCCATGGATTTAGCGCTGACTTACAGGACGGAAAAGCTACAGTCTTTCGTATGGTCCTGACCGTTCTCAATCTTCTCTCTCTGTGGTAGTACGGACTTCTCTCATCGATATACTTCGTGGCTTATTTTTCTGTCACATTTCTGGATGTAAACAATGGAAAACGTAACCTCATATATCTATAGCTTTTAGCTCTATCTACTGTAATAAAAAATGATTGCACGAACATTGTAAATAAAGATTGTCAAAAGAATTTTGATAATGACATGAGATATCATTGACTAAGTGTTTCGCGAGAAATTAAAATAGAAGAAGAGACATTATGTCGACGTTGTGTCTCAAACAAAAAGACGTGTCTGTAGAGAGAAATAAATGTGCTGCGAAAAAAAAAGAGATTTTAATGAATTAGTATAATATCAAATGCACAACAAAAATGCCGGTTTATCAAGAAACAGAAGTAATTAATTTTTATATTCTTTTTTTATGTTAATTTTTTTTCTTTTTAAACGCATACGCAAAAATATGATTTATCTTATTTATAATATTCGTGAAATTTATTTTTATTGCAATATTTAAATTTTTCTCCGTTTATTATTTAATTGATGCTTCTATTGATTTAGCAAATACAAGCGCAAATGGTCATTGTCATTCACCCCGGCTCCATGTATCTTCGCATGGGCCGTGCTTCCGACTTGAAGCCTATTACGTTGTTACATGCCATAGCAAGGAGACTTTTACCAGGAGGAACAAAATACAAAGATAGTTTCTTACCTCCAGCTGTGACACTAGTAAGTATAAATAAATAAATGTGACAATATTGCTATCGTTATATTCTACTTATTCTAATTGTCTTTGGTAGACAAAAGAGCTAACACAGGCAATGGAAGAATCAAGGCTGCAAGTATCACATACTTTGCAATCTTGTTTACAATCTGATGGAAGCAGAAGATATGCAACTCCACCTCAACAGATAGCAGCCTTTAATCGCAGATCCACTCCAGAATTCTCCTCTCCTGGCAATGTGACATGCACAAAATCCGATTTAGATGTGATCGTCGGTGACGATATTCTGTCATTGGATCTGGAAGAAGAATCCAACTTTAATATCCATTTTCCGTACAGGAGAGGCGAACTTAATATTCATTCAGGTCCAGGTGGTAGTCTAACTGCTGTCATGGCGGATCTAAAAACGATTTGGGAATATGTGCTGACTGTTAAACTGGACATTCCTCTCAGAGACTTGAAGCATTATCGCGCGGTACTTGTTATACCTGATATTTATCATCGACCTTATTTAAAAGAATTGACTACGCTGTTGTTGGAAGGAATCGGCTTTGGTCGCTGTATTTTATTACAAGTTAGTTTGTATCTTTAATACTTTTTCCAAAGTATAGTCCTATATATCTGTGATGATAATTAACATTGTTACGTATTGTTAGGATCATGTAGCCGCTATGTTCGGAGCGGGCCTGGGTTACGCGTGTGTAGTAGATGTTGGAGCTCAGAAGATATCGGTGTCCTGCGTTGAGGATGCTATTTCTCACAAGGACACACGAGTGCGTATGGACTATGGAGCCGCAGACGTCACACAAACGTTCTTCTGGCTCCTACAAAAATCCGCATTTCCTTATAAATCGTGTGACCCAGCCAACAAATTGGACGCGCTGCTCTTGGACAAGCTAAAGATAGATTTTTGTCACGTGGATTTAAACGTATGTGGTTCGCAAGAGAAAACATTTGTTGTGAGAAAACCAAAGAAGCACACAGAAACTTATACTTTGCAGGTACATTTAGTCATGTTTAAGATATAAGACATATTTTTCTCTGTATTGCTGATCTGTCTGTAATTTGAAATAGGTAGGAGATGAATGTTTAATAGCACCTTTGAGCTTATTTCAACCCGAACTGTTCAGGATCACAGGAACTCATAACGTTCATATTCAAAAACGATCCTCGGGAGATCCAGAGGATCCTTACGATGAAAATTATTTAAGAGAAACAAGTGTAAGTATTTGTTCACAAGTACTTTGATAAAGATAACACTTTTATACAGAAATTATTGTCGTAAAAAATATAAAACTCTAATTTAGAGACGTGGAATAAAAGAAAATCTAGATCACTCGTCGGAAATGCAAGAAGAGGCGGCAGTTGCACCTGCAGCTGCTGGTGAAGATGAAGTTGTCGATCCGGTCGGTGATTCCGGACCTAGTTTATTAAATCGTGACTTAGAAGCTAATCGAGATTTTGCGATCCCGCAACAGTTATTGGGTCTTGATCAGGCGATATTACAGAGTATCGAGCGATGTTGTGAGTGTAAAAATGTGTGCAAAACACTAGAGGGATCTTAATAAAGAGAACACAAACAGATAATTTTACTTCCTTAACAGCTAACGACGATCTGAAAAGAAAAATGTACAGTTGCATACTAGTCGTTGGATCAGGATTGAAATTCAAGGGTATTGGCATGTGGCTTCGGAATCGAATATCTCTTCAGACACCTTATATGCACAGGCCTGGTAAGTGATGTCTAAGACTTTGAAACAAGCTACAAAATAGAGCCTATATTTTTTCTTGCTTTTTCTTTCTTACAGAACAACTGGACATTATAACACAGCCAAAGGATATGGATCCTGGCATGACAGCCTGGAAAGGAGCAGGAATTTTAAGTTGTTTAGAATCAGCTCAAGAACTATGGATTGCACGTATTGAATGGCAACACTATGGCGTTAGAATATTAAGAGAGAGATCTCCTTTTCTTTGGTAAAAAATGTTTATTGCACAATATTAAAGCAATAATGTATGACTTTCCGATTATCACACATGGTGATATAAATCAGCTTTTTTATCTAAAAAAATATAAATATATTAAAAGTATTGTTTTCATAATTATAACGAGACTGTACAAAACTATAGTAATTATAATATTTTAATCAATATATTTTTTATTTTGTACTTGTCATACTTTTTTTATTGAAACTTTAAATTGTTGTTAAGACTGAACAAAGAACTTGTCAATAATTGTTGTGTCTATTAATTTATTTTGAACCATTTTAAATATTTTTTCGGACATTCATAATAATTCGGTCAGTTTAATTTTAGTCTTGTCATTACGGTGATACTGTACTATATCGGCTTCTAGTAGAAACATCACATAATCTAAAGTGTTTGGTGTAACATCCACATAAGCATTATCTCCACCTTTCTGATAAGCACTAGTTAATGTCTGGAAACAGTCTTAGTTGTTATTAAAATTTATAGTTTAGTAAAATGTGTATAATTTATGAAAATACTCACTGCTAATAAATCCTTGAAACCTTCATTGTCAGGAAAAAGTGTATCAACAACCGTGTACTACAAAAAAAATTCATAAAAATGTAATTTGTTTGGTCACTTTTGTATAAATAAACTATTAGTGTGTGATAGATAAATTTCACACGTACTAAATCATTCTTCACATCTTGAAATATATGTTTAGTTAAGATAAGTTCATTCTCGTATGTTTTATTTGCAAATGTCTTCTTAGTGTCCAGATAAGTTTTTTTCATTTTTTCTAACGCGCTCTTTTTATTTTTTAAGCTGTAACATAAACGTAATGCGTGAATAACGTGTTCTCTACAGTTGAATTCTTGTTGTACTTACTACGTTATATTTTCTTGAACATCAGAAAGCCTTTCTTCTAAACTGACATAAAGCCCTTGCATGTTGTGAATTTCTTCTTCTATTTCTTTCATCACCTCAGTGCGTAAATCAGACGTCCTAGGAATTGGATAATTCTCAGGTTGCATCTGTTGGATTTCTTTCAACAGATTCTGTTCCAATTGGTCTTGCCTCAACCTAACATCATCTCCTGAACTTGACGAATTTATAGTAAGAACTTCATTATTCGATATCTTGTGTATTAGCTCCTCTAGATCTTTTTCCAGTTCCGCTCTCTTGTCCTTTAACGTCTCGTAAGCATCATTTAGTGTATATTCCATACTCTTTGCGTTTTAATTCAAATGTGTTTAGAATATGATTTTTCTCCAATATTTACAGGATTTTCAGTTGAAACAAAAATACGTGACAGGTACGTACGATTTTTCCCGCCAAACGTTTCAGCCTAACCTCACTTTCGATCCAAAAAAAATTTTTAATAATTTCAACTTCTACCGCTAGATGGTACGTGTTGTTCTTTTGCCGGCGCTTTAAATAAACTATGCAAACTCTACCGCATGCGTTATCTAAACCGAAAATCTTGAATAAAGCGTGTTATCGCGAATGTCACCGAACGTCACGAAGAAAAGTAATGCGTTCGTCGCGATCAAAACTCCGTATTTGCTTTTATCACAAAATTTAAAATCTGCTCAATTTTCACAGTTCGCTTTTACAAAATTTACAAACGCGCAGACTGATTTCCGCTGTAATTCTTGCGAAATTCTCGTTTTTATATCAGAAGACATGACAGGTCAATCTGATTATCTTGCCGCTGTCAGAGATTTTTTTTTCCGCGGCGGAATACTTTGTAACTTTTTCTTTGAAGTAATAAACTCGGAGCTATTGTCAAATTGATGACTACCGATCAAGTAAATTCGTGCGAAAATGATTGTAAATCGTTCCTAAGATATATTTGGGTTGGCGAGATCGCACAAATTGTCTAACATGCGCGTAGTCCGCGACGCACGCGAACGGTGTTTCTGTGTCGCATATGTTTTGCTACTCTCCTAAAACAGACCCGGCAAAATGGACGATATAGCACTTCGAGCGTCCGATCATGTTTTAGAAGTGATATTCTCGTATCTGGACCTGCACACGCTGAGAAACTGCTCGCTAGTGTGCAAGCGGTGGTACCGGTTTCTAAACGACGAGAACAACGACGTGTGGCGAATGCACTGTATAAGAAAATTGGCGCAGGAAGCGCTCAGTTCCGATTTGTTGTCGTCGGTGCCTACGTACAAGTCTAAACTGCGTGCGTTTTATCACGCGTGGAATCCAAACGACTGCTCGCGAAATATTTATATTAAACCCAACGGATTCACGTTGCACAGGTTGGTACGGCGACGCTATCTCGCCACACAATCTTCTTTGATTGCTGTTTGTGCATTCTGTTTCTCGCATTTAACAATATATATTTGTCAATATGTTTTTATATATATATAAATATAAAATCTTCATCAATATCATTTTCAATTATAACAATACAACACACAAGAAGCATGAAGTAATCTGAGAAGTGCAATATCCAAAATGTCTTGCACAGTTATTGCATCATTGCAGAAATCCTGTAGCACAGAGTACAGATGCGTGTAGAGGTAAGATAGGATTCAGACACGGACGTCACGCTTGGGAAGTTATTTGGGAAGGACCTTTAGGAACAGTAGCGGTAATAGGAATAGCAACTAAGGAAGCACCTCTCTTGTGCCATGGATATGTAGCTTTACTAGGCTCCGATGAACATTCCTGGGGCTGGAATCTTGTAGATAATCATTTGTTGCATAACGGAGATGCGCAGGGAAATTATCCTTTACTTAACAATGCTCCAAAATATCAGGTATGAAAATTTTTTTACGTGTATCTACAAAAATCATGAATCATATCAATTCTGGCATTAAAAAAAAAAAAAAAAAAAAAAAAATGAAGATCTGTTTTTAACCATCTGTTAAAAACTGTCACAACTGTTATTTACAGGTTGGGGAGAGAATTAGAGTAATTTTAGATTGTGATGATAATACATTGTCTTTCGAGAAGAATTATGAATTTCTGGGCGTAGCTTTCAGAGGTATGACTTTTTATTTTCACGTTTTATCTAGCGTTTAATTAGACTTTTGCAGAGAAACATTTTAAGATAATATTTAAAAATATACAAGCAATTGTGTTACAATCGCTACTTTGATGAACAGGATTACCAGATAAGAGATTATATCCATCGGTATCTGCTGTTTATGGAAATACCGAGGTGTCCATGGTGTACTTAGGACCACCATTGGATGGCTAACACACATTACGTTTGAAAAAAAAAAACACATATCCTCAAAAGAGCTCATTTGAGGCTGTACAATGCATTCTTAATGCCAAGTTTTCTGTGCACTGTACCGATATTGTCTACGTTTAAGTAGAGCGAGCACACGGCGGCAAATTGTACAATATTCTTTACAGAGAAATGTGTGCCTGCTAGATTACTTGGTCAATAATATATTGTAAATAATAGGCATTTTTTTTAAACCGATAAACTTTATCATCCGATATATACGTATCGTTTTTTTTTTTTTTTTTTCCCTCAGTTCAAATTGATCTATTTTTATTAATGTAACTGCACGTATGAAGGTTTTACGTGATATTAGTTTTAAGTAATAGTACGTGAAAAATATTTCTTTTTTATTAATTTTTATTATTTTGTTGGAAGACGCAACGCCACATCGTATGATGTCGAATATAGTAATGTTTGTCACATACCTTTAATATATATTTCCGTGCAGTATTATTTATTATCTGTTATAATTTTTTTATATATATCAAACACGCGCGATATTTTAGGTAAAATAATTTAACAATTTGACTTCCTGTTTTTTTTTAATCCACTTTCTCTTGTAACATATTTGCGTATTGAGCTCAGGACATTGCGTTGTAATTTGTTTATTGTTAAGAACATATTAGAAACACGAAAATGAACGTTTATATATATATATATATATTCTTCCAAAGAATGCTCATGTTTGTTTTTTATATATTGTGAATATTGTTAGCGAAAGCAGCACGATCAAATATGTTTGCTTTTATTATAAAGCTTACAACACTTGCCTCTATCTTTCTAATTTATTACAATTGTGTGTACAAAGATCTAATATATAGAAGTTTTACGACTAATTATATTATTTTCTGTTTATATTACAACACTAAACCAAAAAATGGCTTTTAGAAAATAATTCGTCACATAATATAGTATACAGGGTGGTCTCACTTAATGTGTTCATTTAGTAACGACATTATTTTTTGTACACAAGAACAAAGAAATCGCGAAAACAATTATACAATATAAAAAAAAAAAAAAAAAAAAAATCAAATAACAAGTTCTGTCAAGGCCTCATTCAGTAGGCACACTAAAAATTGCTAAAACTTATTCGTCCTAAACAACAACAAAAAACTAGACTAGCAGTTCCATTGTTTGTTCGTCAAATAAATACGGAATATTTACAAAAACGCACGTAATAATATTTTACTAACACTTTCTCTTTGAGAGAGATATGCGGAGAGAAAGAAAGCAGTTAATAATTATTAAAAACATTGCTCCAAAGCAATGTATTGTTTATCTTTGTATTTTAAACATTACATGTCGCGTCACAGTATGATCTCGTTTAAACTCTAAGTCATCGGTATACTTAGGCTCTACATTGCCGGTTAAATACCAATATCATTTTAATATCTCGTATATATGTGTAATAAATTTACACACACATATATATGTATATATATTTATTTATATGTTTTAAACCACTATTGTGGATAAATAAGTGCACAAAGAATACACTGCATAAAAATTCAAAAAGCTATCGTTTTCATTAGTGAATTTTTACGTTGATTGCAAATATATATATATATATATATACATATAAATACGAGAGATTGTATATTACAATCTGTTAAAAATCTATTTATAAATAAAAAATGCTGTTTTTAAGATTGAAAACCGACAATTAGAGATGGCGAATTAGATCGGAGTAAAGATGATTATTTATAAATGTACATATTTATTATGATGATTGCGTTTTTTGCTGTAGTGTTCGTGTGAATTAGTTTTTCTAAACTTTTGTACAGAATCGTGTACATAGTGATTATAAATATTTGGGAAATAAACTTTATTTCATACGTATGTATGTACATGTACTATGTACGTATTTGTCCTGTGTAAAGTCACAACCTTTATTTAACGTCTTCAGATATATCTCATTATGTATATGCATTTTTTGTTCTTGTGAATAATCGATCATTCTATTGGTATGTCAAAGATGAGAGGTTTAACCATATTTGGACGACTCTCTTTTATTTTATTCAAAATTTTACAATGTACTCACAATTCGAACGCTAAGTGACGGTAACAACGTACCTGTTTCAAATATCCGAATAATTGAGTATGGCGGTCTCTTGAATAAAATTATCATTATGGCACCAAAATTAAAATTAATAACATTTGTCCTCTTATAAATAATGTATACTAAAATTAGTAAGTAATGTTAAGTACGTATTGAAAATAATGTTAAAACACCTTTTGCACCTGCTCGAGTCTAATCGAGCGCGAAGAAATCTTTCCTGAATACACAAAAAAGACCAAAGTGCGAACATTATTACTCAATACCTTACTATTCTCTAGACCAGGATAAGAATTACGTTGGCGAAGAGATAATATCATATCGTGACAAGAAAAATGTTATTGCAATTACGTTCTTATTGCACAAATTCTTACGAAGCTCCCCGAAAACGTAAGAGAAAAACTTGAGAATTATTAAATCATGATATAAACTTTTCGAGTCTTCTGCACAAAATCTTTTTTTTTGTGTTTTTTTTTTTTTTTTTTTTATTCGAATACAAGTAATTCAGCTTGAGAAATGTAAAGTGCAGTATGCAAGTGTCAGAGCGTTGATTTACTTACTCGATCTCATTATTTACAAATCGTTCGTTCTAGTAAGAAGAAATCTCTAATTTGTACAATATGTATAAAGGCAGCGCGCGAAGTACAGTGACCGACATTAACACCTTCGCATTTGCTACGCACATTTCAGAAACACTCAATATGGCAGAAAATATTGAGTAACACGAGATTCTGACAAATGTGAAGGCGTTGTTGTTGTCTTTGTACGTGTGATACATGAAACAGTGCACGATTTACATGTTACGACGTATATATTGCACAAGCCAGACATTCCATACAATACTATCGGTAAACTATAAATGAGGCTAAACCTGACGGAAAAAAATTTATTCAATAAGGGAATGTTATTCAACAACTCGAGTTCACTGAATGTACATGTGTATAATCTACATCGTATATAAGCTGATCGTATACTTTCGAAGCGGTACGAATTATACAAACAACGAAACTGCAAAAAAAACAACAAAAAACTTACGTTATCGCGCATTAAAAAAATATTATTTAACTCTTAGACTTATACTATACGACTGTGCCTACGTATGATAGCAGGAGAGAGAGAGGCATTAAAATTTATTTTTTAATAACAGACACAAACATACATATAGTTCTGGATTTTAAAAGAATACTATTGACGGTTGTAAATATAAATAATCGGCGTAACAATACTATGAAAATACATTTATAACTCATAAACATATATATGTATATATAAGATCAAATAAAACGTGCGATACTAAAAAATATATGTATGTACATATCCAAATATATATCACCACACTATACATCACAACTTTTCTCACTTTACTGTTGTGTTTATAATATTTTATAATTGTATATTAAATACGATTTAAACGATTATTTGTAAAAATGAAATAAAAATTAAAAGTGGAGAGAGCTGTCTGCATGTAAACAATATGTCTAAATAAATAAATCTTACGATTGCACGTAAAACTTAAAACAAAAATTAAAAAATAAAATTATTTTAATATATATGTATACATAAAATATATGTTAAAAAAACGAAACAAAAATTTACAGTAAAACACGGAATGTTTATATATACACTTATCACACAAAATAAAAAACGGAAGAAATATCACCATTATTCTATTTCTTTTTTTATGATAGTAAAACGAGGAGAGAGCGATCAGCTGTTTATTAATTTTTTAGTGAAGTTGCAGAACATATTCTATTCTGTATATCATTCCAGGTACACACATACACATACGTAAGCACACTTTCAATCACATTGTCAGTAGTAAAAAACTCCTTGCTTGACTAGTTTGTAGCTACCAAATGGAAAATTCATTATCTTGGATGATATAATATTAGTTTTCTATATGCACTTAAAGTTTCTATTTTACAAAATGCACATTGTGTAACACTACAATGAATCACGTTAATCTAAGCGTTGATCTTTTTTTTGGAATATAAAACAGTTTTTTGTTTGTTTTTGTTGTGTCAAAAACTTATTATTTTAGGCCAGTTGAATAAAAACAACACCGTGTATAGGTGTAGCAATAGCATTTCTTGTGATATCGTGTCAAAGACAATTTTTTTCATACTTCTGATGCAAAAGCACTGAACCAATCTCCCGCAAAAAAATCAGGATTATCCAATTTGTGAATATATGTGCTTAATATAATTTAATATATTTAAATTATTTAAGATTGAAAATTGATGTATTTATTTCAACATTTTAGAGAGAGTAGTCGCGTGTTTATTCCAAGAGATAGACATCCGTGATTATAAATAAATAACTGCGGATGTCGGTTTTATAATTATTATCATTGGTATGAGTAATATCAATCGCTTCTACGTATTAGATTGTTTTAACGAGAAACACGAGTCTTTTTCTAATGGCAGCTTAATGAAAATATAGACCTTTATCTTTATTAATTTTATGAGTAATAAACATAGGCCGTTATATATCTTATAATCCGTGACAATGTTCACAAAACTGACTAACGTATAAAAGTTTGTTTATACGTATGAAACCTGAGATTTTAAATATGACTTTTTGAAAAATCAAAATATCTATCGAGATATTAAAGATATACAAAATAAATTCTCTAAGTTCCTTAAATTAAAAAATGAAGTCTAAAAATTCGTATAACAAAAAAAGTCACGTACAAATATTTTCATACATGTCATCAGTTTTGCAAACAGAGAGCGGTATCTAATTAATTTCTAGTTATATACATTGCAGTTTCGTCATTTGAATATCTTCATTTCTTCTGTATAAGAATAGAAAAGAATCATAAGAATGCATAATGTGTACTGTTTGTCTCTAACGCGATTGTTGTTAACTAGTATAAGAGGTAACGCAAGTTAGTTATGACTGTAAGTAATCAGCCATTGTTTTTAGTGGACGTCAGCTTAAGCCTCACACACTATCATGAGTTTCTTAATTCTATGCACAGCGCCATATAACAAGCTTTTGAATAGAAATTTATATTTCAAATAGACTATTTCTCACGATCGATGTCGTGGACTAATAAAATTAAAACCGGCACAATTGTAAAATTGCACCAAGTTGTCTCTCTTTGATATTTATTGTGTCTGTGAGCGCGTAAGTTTTGTTCAGATAAAACGATTCGTAAATCGTGTTTATCATTATTCATGTATCAATTGTGTACGATTAGTTATAAAACTTGTTAAGAAGTTTAGTTCCTATTGTCCCCTTTTTTGTGTTCACAAAGATATAACGTATAACAGATACCATTATAAATGCTCAAGTTTTCAGAAAAGAATGTATAGATATCATATACTCACGTAATAAAATCAAATATACATTTGACATTATGGTTTTCTCTACCGGATTAGTCAAAATGTGTATGGCCGTTTCCCGAGGTGTTGGAACCTTCGTGCGACCTCTCGCTTTGCTCGTATGTACATTTCTTTTTTGGAATTGTGCATTCTAGCGCCGGCTTAACCCTAGTTAGCGGGAACTTGGTTAAGAAGAAGTTGGATCCGTAACAGAACAGTTTGCACAAAAAGGGGCACAATATCGCTTGGTGGATGGTTGCCCATATTCGATAATTTTGACCTTCAAAGGGATCCAGCACAGCTGCGCACAACATGTGACTAAGATTCACTTGTATAGGCTGCACACAGAAAAAAAAAAGAAACATTCCAAATATAATTTTTAAAAGTTAAGTATTGCAGCTGGATACATAATTCAGCTTACTGACCAAGGCAACACACTGAAGAATCCAAAAGTGATATCCTGCATTGAGGCCATAACTCAGAACCGACCAGCTCATGTCAGACAATGGTTCTATATTATATACACCTAGTGTAAAAATAAAAATGTATTGTATTCTGTACTTGGAATTACTGTACTTTTAAAACTTTTAAAGTCAGAATATGGAAATATAACAATTTCAGATGTTTCAAGTATACACACCTCCAATCCTCAACAAGTAGTATGGTATTACTAACATTAAACCGTGCTGAATATAATACATCGCCCTGTCCGCAAATATCTGAAAGACGAGTTTACTTATTTTTTTATCTTACTGTTTAATATTTACTCTATCATATGTACTTACAATTCGAGATTCTGTTTCTGGAAATAGATAAGCTAATACTGGTCCATTCAGCAGATTTAAATGTATCCTAAAGATAGCAGTAACAGTTGGACTAGGATCCGCAGCTAGTAAATACAACTACAACAGGACGCAAAACACAGAATTTAACATCCAAAAGAACGAGTCATTGTAATTTGTCTTAAAAAAATTTGCATTCAAATCACAAAACTTACTTGCAATGCGGTTGTAATGTGACATGGATTTAAAAGATAAATGACAGTCCTGCTGGTGAATTTAAAACCGATCTCCATACCCAGGACCAGTGACATCGCGATTAACAAGACTCGCCTGCCCACGCGGTCGTGACCATGACCGACGAAGGTCAGATTTTTCGGCAATGTCACTCTCTTCAGACCCCACAAGATGCATGACGTGACGAACACCGATATCAGCAGGGTTTCAATTATCCTTCGCTTTATTGACAAGTAATTCGCACATTCCGGACCGACGTTGCGCGGTATTGAGGTATTTACACCATCGTATGCCCATTCGAACATCGTTCGAGATTAAAAATCGTTGTCGGAAAACTGGAACAAGTGTTATTCTTGAGGAACTTGCGGTGAGTTTTTCAACGACTGGTCGCGTGATTAAGCGTAAAACGACTGATAATGAATCTGTATTTATCTCGTAACAGAGACAAAAAAAAAACTTGTCACGAAAAAAGGCTTAACGAAATGCGTTTTTTTTTTTCGAAGAGCAACCGACTAAAGGTTAGAAACAACGAGAGCCAGCAGGCTATAACGTTTTATTATTGATCTCGATGCTGAATTGTCAATCATCTCGGCACGTGCGATTGCACCTAAACCAAACGATTCCGAAAGAATCGCTCGTCGCGATGCAATTTCTCTGTGATCTTTTTAACTATATATACATACGTATGTAAATAATAATCTACAAAAAGATAGACCGATTGTTGTGTCGAACCAGAGAGAAGGACCGAGAACGGCCACACGACCATCGATTAAGCTGTTATTGCCATTACGCTCCGTTCGCCAGCGCTGCTTTCACGGTGGAGCACATCGCCAACTACATAGCCGATGTATGTGCAGTGTGCACGGAGCGGCGGATTCGTCGACAATGGTGTTGCCGATGTGCTCCATCGTGAACGTAGCGCTGGCGAACGGAAAAACGACAACAGCTATAAACTGGAGCCACGGCCGCTCTCAGTCTCTTCTCTCTCTCTCTGGTGCCGTCAGGTGACGACCGAACGGAATTCCTAGCTGAACATTATTACGCACGTATGTATGTATATATGTATGTGCGGAATGTAAGAGACAATTTACATTGCAGAGGCGACGCGCCCCGCTTAAACAAAAGCCTCCGCGCTTAAACCAGCCTTTAAGTTTAAATGATCGGCCGGGGGCGCGGAAATGAAGGGCAAGAGGGAAACGTCACACGATGTTGACATGTGATATATTCTCGAATGTTGACAGTACAACAGAGTGAAAGTGCACGTGGATAGGAACCCTCCCTCCTTTACCCTCCCTCCCCCCTCTCTCCCCCTCCGAAATAAATCATCGTGTGCACATGTCACAACAAACACCGGTGAGCTCGCGAGATGATGTGAGGTGCAATCGGGGGGTAAACCCGCGCGCTTGTGTTTCCGCGGAACAACGCGACGCCACGGAATGCCATTGACGCTTGATCGACGTTACGAAGAGAATTATTAAGGCGCTGAAGTGTCGCTGCGTTTCAAACATGGCGGTGTCGCTCGTGCGGTCGTTCGTTGCTGTATTACAACATTCATCATGACGATTGCGGATCGTTCCGATCGCACGCAACGCACGTTCTTCGCTTGATCATCTCTCTCGGGTTCCTCGAGATCGAAACTCTACGCGCAACGACCGCTCCGGGTGTGCGTTGGATTTTCCGTGTGCGGGGTTATACACGTCGCCTGGCTCGTCGACGACTCCGGGTTTCTTCGAAGCGGCCGAGATAATCGCATCGCTTCGACGACCACACAGTCGCTTTGACCTTTCTTCCGCGAGGTACGTAAGTTTTTTTTTCACATCGCTCGCGAAGCGTGTGGCGTCTCGCTTGCTCGAAACTCAGCACAGGACACACAGCAATTCTAATCGAATTTTCTTTAGACGATTGTAGACGCAATCGATAGACCCGCATCACGTCCCAACTAGGAGGATATGCTCCGAAATTCTTCTTCTCTGCGTCAACATCGTCTTAAGAAATCTTAACTGCTAGAAAGTGAGTAATTAAAATTTACACGGAGACACAAGAAAGAGACTGCACATTCGAAAACTTTATAAAGATTTAAAAAAAAAAAAGGGAAAAAAGTATTCCTCGGTTTTTGTGCTTCGGTTAAAAAAATATATATATTTTTGCATTTACATAATAAAATATAATTAAATACCGTGAACTTTATTGTATATTGGAGTTGATATATTGTGACTATTTCTGTCTCTTTCTGTGGATTTTTTGTCAACGATTTCTCATCGTTTTCTTTCGTTTCTTAAGATTAGATAAAAACGATATTATTTTTATTTGTGTGTGTGTGTGTGTGTGTGTATGTAACAAAGCACGAAAAATGTGAAGACCAAATATTTCCAAAAGAACGATATTGGCTGGTATTTTCACAGTCCGATCTTGCATCTAAGGTCGACTTTTTAAAAAAGTTGTGCGGGAGGTTTTGATAGAGAAATTAATTTAAGATTTAAAAAAAATATCGTTTTATCATTTTTCGTCTTTGCGCAAACTAAAAAATATTAAAAAGTATATTAAAATATATACGTCATTGAAAATCGCCGAGTTAAGTCCCGTTTACATGAGTCTCACGGAATTCGAACCAATCGCATTGACCGATCTTGGCCAGACTTACGCACACATCTACAATCTCCGTGATTCTTGGAGAAAGAATAAGACTTCTTTTTTTTTTTTTTTTTTTAATAACTGAAAACAGAAAATCTAAAATCCGTGTTCAATCAGAAACATAAAAAATGTTACTTACAACAGATCTACCTTTTAAAAAATATATTAACTTAATGTGTTTATTGATTATTTCAGATAGTGAGACAGAGCTCGTTGAAGATATCTGGTTAATAACAGGCTCATTTTTGTATTGTTCCGAGGGCAAACCCGTGTAAAATCCAATTTAATCTGTTACAAGAGATCTTTTATTACAATATAATATAATATAATAAGCTATTCAATTTAGATATAGAGTATTGTATACATAGTAGCTAGTAATCAAAATCGAAATTTATAAGCAGTTTCGGTTTAGAGTGTGGCCTATAATCTTTGTATAGATGTTTCTTGTCTGTTAATTTACCACTACTTGTGTTATTATTTATAAATCTTTGTGAGTTGTTTTGAGAATATTGTGAAGCACGCAAACATTTGAACAGTGAAATCTATTGCATTCATCTTGATGTAATATCCACCATTTATATTGCATACAAGAAGTATATAAAAAATACTTTAAGACGATAGTTTGCACAAAAGATTGTGTAGAGAAACGAGAAATATTGTTTACAATTTGAGTGTGTGTTGTGATATATTGGTTTTTCTCTGATCTGATACATCAACCGTGATATCCTAACGTTCTCGCTAAGACTTTCCTATTCTCGCTGACATAATACTTGGTGTTCCTTGCAAGTTGCCTGAATTTTGTAAAGTCTGTTGTTACTTCTTAATCGTAATAATGGCTGAGACACAACGAATGACCGTGTACGGAAGATTCGCCCCGTGCGCCAGTTTTAGCAGATTGGAGGAACGTCGGGCGAAGAGGTAATCAAAATTATTACGCGAGAGTTTATTGAATTCCGAAAGATATCTTTGCGTTCAAAAAATTATCGAAAATTCTCTCGTTCAATTCCTCGTTTCAGATTGGCGTTGCGACACGAGAGGAATCGCAAGCCGGACAAGCCGGACGACTTCGTGTGCTACGAGTCGAGCGACGATGAGAGCGAGACCGTCATTGAGGGCAAGCAATTTCTACGAACGTCTTTCAACTTCGTGGATTATGTGCGTGCTCGTGAGACGCATACTCGCGAAGTGCGTAAGATCAACCAGGAATACGGCTCCCGGCACATATTGACGCACGATCTATTCAAGGAATATTCCGTTAGTCTGAATAACATGAACAAAGTGTTTTGCTCGCAATGGTTGAGCGACCGACAAGTGGTGTTCGGCACCAAATGCAACAAACTCATGGTCTACGACGTTGCAACGCAGAAGCTCGATCAGATACCATCTCTTCACGGAAGACAGCCCAGTCCGGGCAACAACGTTATACCCGAGCAACAATGCGGTATTCATTCTGTTCAGATCAATCCTTCGAGGTAATTTATCCCCCACGGTGTGTTTTTTTTTTTTTTTTTGTTTTTTTCTGGACAAAGAAAACTAGCAGAGACATTAATCCATCATTTTTTCTCTTGTAGAACACTTTTATCTACCGGAGCGAGAAATAGTAACGAAATAGCGATATACAGATTACCGACTTTGGATCCGGTTTGCGTCGGCGAGAGCGGCCACAGGGATTGGGTGTTTGACATGTGCTGGTTGGACGATGAATTTCTAGTATCGGGTTCGAGAGATACGAAAATGGCACTGTGGCGTATTGACAGCGATCTCGCTGAATCTCCCGACAAAGCGGACGTGCCTACGCATAGGTAAATTCTGACTGAACGTTTGTCACATATTATTTAAATGTTTTAATTTATAAATATATATGTATTGAAGCTTCTCTGATTCCCGGTTCTCAGGTTGATCCAGCCTGTCTGTGTGAAGGAATGCAAATCCGCGCAGAAAGTACGGGCGTTAGCATTCAACAAAGCGTACAAGGAAATCGCCGCGTTGACACTCAATAATTTTATACATATCTGGTCGGCCGAGTCCTTCAAACAGAAAATATCTAGAAAGCTGCCGGCTTGTCAGGAGAACGTCTGCATTGCCGTGCAGGACGATGGTGTCTACGCGATCGGCTGCAGATCGTACACTCTACTTCTGGACGCGCGCACTTTGCAACCAGTCAAAAAAATACCATCAAGGTACAAAAACAAACGTTTTTCCTTTTTCTGTCTCTCTCTTTCTTTTCTTTTCGAGACGCGTTTCAACATCACTCTTAACAACATAAATATATATTTTTTTAATACAGGTATAGCGGTTGCGGGATTAGATCAGCCAGTTTCCAAGGATCCGTTTTAACCATAGGAACTGGACTAGGAATGCTTATGTTTTACGACGTTAGAGCTCAAAAATATCTAGAATCTTCTATAAATTCCAATAGAACTGTTGTATTAAAGGCTTCAAAGGGATATGTGGTAAGTTTTGTTGTTATCATCATTTAAAGTGACTTACATATGAAAAAGTAAGGTAACAGCGTCCCAAATTGTTGAATCTTAAATTCGCTGTTCTCTCTCTCTCTCTCTCTCGTGGATTTCTTCACGAATAAGCCCAATATAAAGTATATTTTTTATTTTCGTGTATTTTCATGGAAGAGTTAATATATTTATCCTCCTTCCTCCCTCCCTCTCTCCCTCCTGTGAAATATAGTTTCCAGATGAAGAGTATATAGACGGATTCCAAAACGTAAAGTACACTCCCGCCATTTACACACACTGTTACGACGCATCGGGTACCCGTTTGTTTACGGCGGGAGGTCCGTTACCAGCGAATCTATACGGCAATTACGCAGGATTATGGCAATGAAGATTTAAGCTTAAGCAAATTAAGACTAGTACGATGAATTGAATGCTTGGTCGTGAGAGAAATAGAAATAGAAATTTGACCATCAGATTTGAAAATAATCTCAGACTTTAGAAAGTTGCTCTCAATTCATTGAGTTTGGCTTGATTTGATGACTCTCAAATATTTTCTCTCGTGAAACTTTGATACTCAAAATTTAGAGAAATCATATCAAAATTAATAAACAAGTTTTACATTTCAGAAAACCATACACATGAAATCTGAGATAATATACAAAAGAAAAAGATTGAATTTGAAAGATTGAAACCATCATTGGAAATTACGTACACGTAACTTTTCCAAGTTTTTGTTTCAACGTAGATTTTAACTAGGTAAAGATAAACTACGACAGTGCAATTATTTATGCGCGAGAGACGTCTACGTGTATGAACAAAGGAAAAACACTTTGTTTTTACAACGGTACTGTTTCTCGCGCAAAAATCACACAAATAAGTTGTAAAAGACTTGTTACATTTCTATTTCTTTGTACATCGTTGCAGAAAGTTTATCACCAATGTGTGGCCGAAATACTACGTATTTGGAGTAACACAAAAGCAGCGATTTTTCTTTACTCAGAATAAGTTTATATTTTGGCCACGGTAGTAAATTTCTGTGAGGATCAGCGTGTGTGTATGTGTGGACATTTGATGTAATAATATATGTAATAATTATATATTAAGTAATATATTTATGTTGTTACAAGCGAAATTGTGATTCGTAATTTCTGCATGCAAACGTAATGTAACGTGTGAGGTAACGCTCGGCAATATTTTTTTGTTTTTTTTTTGTTTTTTTTTATCCGAGTGTAAAACAACGTGTACGTGTTATTTGTATGCATGACGTTACGATTTTCAGAATATAGTTGTAGGAAAAACAAAAAAAAAAAACAATTGGCAGACACGCGAGTAGCACAAAAATCTTCTCCGAATAACTTTTATCTAATTGAATCGAGTGAAACGTGTGTAATCCTGTATGCCAGATCTCTTTTAGGACAGATTAAAAAATTGATAAGCTTGAGCGGAAGTTAGAAAAAAAAAAAAAAAAGACAATTTTCACTTACTCGTAAGATGTTACGTTGCGTAGTTGTAATGAATATTACATGTTATCACGACGACAGATGAGCGAAAGATTATAGAGAACGGGATTGTCAACGAAACATTAAGAATAGTGATGAATATACGATATATATATAAGTCTTACCAAATACAAAACTATTATAATACAATTAAACTACTGGCCTGAAAAAAAAGCATGCAGTACATTTTTAAATAAAATAAAAACAAAAAAAAAGTACCATTATTTTAGAGCGTAATACAATACCGATAATGCAATTTTTACGCATTACTGTGTTCTCACGTACTATAACGCAAGATGATTCAGACTACGCCGTTCGGAGTTGGATTTTATCTCGCGACAATCGCCCATCTCTTGGACATGGAAAAACGTTGCGTTTGAAATGATCATATTAGCCGAGAGAGAATGAAGACAACGGGACTGTTCTAAAACTCGGTAGCACGATAATTCTAGAAATATTCCCTTCAAACATCTCCGAGAAACACTTCGTATTTGTTCGTATCGCAGAACTTTAACTCGAAGTAGCAATCACTTTTTTCAAGTTTAACCGAAGTTGGGTTTGACAAATGTAATAATATCCGGCTGTTCAAGTTTGACACCAAGCTCGTTTGCCAAACCGCGTCGTATTTTCTCATTCGTCACGCGGCCACGCGTTTGGCAACGCGTTTAGAGAATAACGGACGACACGCGCATTTCATCAATAAACCGGGAATGTAAAAGGCACGCGCGATCTGTGATTGCATATAAATGCCGCGTGCAGTATCGAGAGAGCATTTGTTTCTTAGTTTATATATAAACACACACGCTATATAAACGTGTACATATACGTGTATACACGTATATTTAACGCGTATTGCAAATCAGAGACTTCGGATTGACTTCTTTACCTCCTCGGAAATTTGTGTATTTTGCGATCGATCGATCGGTTTTATTCGATTTTACACTCTTCCCCGACGTCTTCGACTTGCAGCGCTCGAACGTATCTATTACATGTACAATCGGGGGCGCATACGTTCTTCATCTATGTACGAGGTTGCATCAAAATAATGCTCTTTATTGTCTAAAGTACTGTTGATGCAACTTCATGCGGCACATGTCCGTGTATACGCCCTCGAGTGTACAAGATGTCGGGAAACTTTTAACACGATCAATGGGTGAAGATAGATTGGATCAACCTGACCCAATAAAAGTCACTTATTTTGCAAAATTCGCGATATTGAATCATTAATTAAGTAATTTGGGCCAGTGATCGCGTAGTGGTTCAAAATCTGGGCGTGTGTAATTTTCACAGTTGTAAGGAAAACTACTTTCTCTCTAAATGTCCTAACAACCAGAGGGAGAGCAAACGAGCGAATGTCATGTGTGACACAGACTTCTTGCGATCACAGCTAATTGTTGCAAATAAAAATCACACACCCCGAAATAGAGCCACTTTTCACACGCTCGTTGGCTCGCATTACTTAATTAATAGCTCAATAAATATTCAGCGAATTTAACAAAAATGACTTTTCCGATTCAGATTAACGCAATTTATCTTCACGCTTCGACTGTGTCACAATTTCTCAGACACTCTGTATAACACGCTAACATCTCCGCATCTCGTCTCTCACCGATTGTATATCTTATAACGATTAAATATTTTATAGTCGATACGGAGTCCGACGAATTTCGGTCGAACAAGCTCAAACACGATTCAGGAAGTAATAGAAGAACTCGCGACCTTAGGGTACACACACTAGCGGTATGCTTAGACAAAATAAGAGCTCTCATCTCACATTGGACGTCACGTCAGTCATCAGTCATCGCGCGCGCGATGAATCACATCGTGAATGCCGCTCTCTTCCCCATTGCATTGAGGCGCGTTTCAGCGTCGGAATGTACGTGGCCATTACACGCATCATTCGTTCACGAAACGCGAAGAGATTGTCCCCAACGATTGAACCGTCGTTGAAATTTATATCATAACGGAAGATGAAGAAGTGTATGTTAGGGAAAAATATTATTATATCGACAACAGACTCTCGCGCAGATTGAGTTGTTAAACATTTATATATATAAAATATATATATATATACATACTTATGGAGTCTCACACGCGATACTGCATAAGCTAGATAAATGTGTGCATTATAATCCGATAGCTCTTGTGTAGTCTCTCACACGCTCATCTCCACGTAAAAAAAAAAAAAATAAAACAAAAAAACCGATTCGATACGCGTGCACGACGTGAGAGAAGCCACATTTGTTTTTTGCCAAAAAAAAAAAAAAAAAGAAAAAAAGAGGTAGAGAGAAGATTCATCACACTACTAAAGCATCTACTAGCGTTATCACAGAGAATAGTGTGCAAACATCTACACATAGCGTATCTCTCTCATGCGTCTTCGCGACATGTATCTGCGATACTTGCGAATGGGTTTTAAGTTCAAAATGTTCAAATCGCGCGTAAGGGAATTCACGCAATTCATCAGAGCATGAGCAAAAAAAAAAAGTAATTTTACATCTGAATTTGATGTGTTTTTTCACCGAAACACGTTCCGATAGCCTATTTTTATAAAACAAAGCAATAGTTGACGAGTAGCTTCTCGAGATCTTTCTTGGCATCGTTTCACGCTCAGATCGCAAAATCGAAAGATGTACATTAGAACGAGAATTCAAACCGCTGCCACACTTACATTACGTAGTAGCGATTTATCAGAAAAAAAAAAAAAAAAAAATAAGTCAAATATAAAATGCAATAATAATAACAGAGAGAACGAGCGTGACAATTTTATATTTTAGACATATAATATAGAGCAACACGTGTGTACATAACATTCTCGACGGCAGTGCGTTTCGCGTCTCTTTGGGTTCGTCTCATATCGTCTCAGTGTGTAAAATCCATTCTATCAGGTGGCAGGGGTTTGAAATGTAATACAAACTTTTTTGGTAATTTATTACGGCGAAACTTTGCATGTGCAATTCAACGGAATGGTGAACAAGGCAAACAAAAACAAAATAAAACTATATCGTTGTAACTTTATATATGTGCGACTTCGTATACACATCTATGTAAATAAATATTACAAGTTCTTGAGACTGACACGTCGTCGTTTACCTTCTCCTTCCGTCTTTTTTTTTTTTTTTTTTTTTGTCTCTCTTTCTCTCTTCCTCTCGGGATGTGACAACAAACGCGCGTGATTGTGTTTGTTAATAATTTATTTGACGACATGGTACCAATACACATTTCTCAATATTGACAATCGTCACTAACAACGTGTAAAGTAGAGATGTATATACCGCGTACAAAAGGCGCAAAATGTTGATAAAGTTATTTCTCTTTTTGTTTTTCTCCTTGCGATTTAACAATATCCCGCGCGCTGATAATTTCATCGGGATCAAATTCGCAATCAAATCAGATATGTAGGAAATTGGTTCTCCTTTTTTCTTTTTTTTAATCGAGTGATATTGTAAAAAACGTGTATACGTACGTATGTACATATAAGCGATAGCGTTAATAGTGGATTGTGTCGACCGCACACGTTTCATGATATTTTTTCGCAACGTGTGCGCGTGTGTGTGTGTGCGCGCGCGCTACTATTTACGCGTGTCAATGTTGCTACACTGTGCACAGGCACGGTACAAAAGTAATATCCTCAGTAGTTTTATTGAGAAAATTTGCGGTTTTCACAAAACGAAACTACAAAATCCTACTCCGTTACGACGTGATAAAAACTCGAACTTATACACGTACAAAACATCCGAGAGTTTCTTTTCATTTTCTTTGAATATTTATGAAACTCTCTAACTTTTACAAACTGCGTATATAATAAACAATAAAAACCTCGCGTCCAAATCAATCTTCTTCGGCGATAAAACTTTTACCTTAAAACCGCTCGATCCGCCATGAAACATCGGATCGAGCACTTTGGTGTGTCGCGTGACCGTCGTCGACTCTCCAACTGTCGTACGAAGATTCCTCCCTGTTTGTGCAATCCACTATTATTGCACGCGAACTACTGGTATCCTACAGTTCGAAACACGAAGGACAATCTGCCCTGAAATGTCGATACGCTTAGTTTTTTTTTTTTTTTTTTTTGGTCAAATCATTTGATCGACGGATGGATCTTCGAAAAACGTCATATTTTTTATTTTCATCTAACCGTCAAGATCCTCCGTGCTGCGGAATTTGTCGTGTGATCCGTGCCGAAAGTGAATCGTTTGATTTAATTTGGCGAGAGGGTGTTAGTTTTTTTTTTACAACCGCAAAACTGGGATCTAACTCGCAATCTGCTTTCGGCAGCGTCGCTACTGCTCGCTTCACGAGCTCTTTTACTTATATCGTACACTTGTGTAAACACACACATATATATGTATACAATTAGTTGTGAGTATAGAATTTGCCAAACATGACAAGAAAAATTAAACCTGGTATTCTGTATCACGCAGTGTAGTAAAAATTACAAAAGTGAGCGAATTTACTAAAATATCTATGATCTTATTGGTCAACAAGTAGTAAATTTGCTCACTTTTGTAATTGTCATTACATTGCGTGGATACAAAATCGACCTCCTGAAACGAACGTGTAACTCTAGGATTCTGAAATAGGAAAAAAATACCTCGCGCGTTATATTCTAAAGTAAATCACACGAAAAATTATATATACAAATAAATCTTTTTGTGTAAAGACAATGAGAGAACTAGATTAAGTAAAAACAAACTTGAATAGAATCGGATCACGCACAGACCCTCAAATCTATGTAACTTTAATCTATATATAGTTTACGGTAAGCTCATTATACTTTTTTTTTTTTTTTTTTTTTGGTATGACGATGTCCTGCACACAAATACACATTGTTATATCACATACATCAATTATCGCGGACGACGTTGTACCCTTAAAATAGATGCGGAGTATTAGACAATTATTGCGTAAATTGGTGAGCAAGAGTGGTCCGCATTGAGTGGGCCCGACCCAGCTACTGAGGAGGGGATGGTGAAAAGTGGTCGCGAACAAGAGAAACATCTTTTGCTTTTGATCTAACGCTACGAAGAAAACTAATACTTGTCGTGTCGCGCGTAAAACGTCGTCTGTTTGCCGTTGAAACTAAATGTAAACGAAGCACACGCTCGTGGATTTCGCTTTCCGATTGTTTACCGATCGACTCGTCACCGATCTCTCTCGCGATCGTTAAAACGATTATCATCCCGTCGAGACGACTCGATCGTCGCGTTATCGCTCGTCAGCGAAAACGCGTCAAAACAATTTGACGTTTCTGAAGAATAATCAAAGCCGCCTGGCGTCCAACGCCTTGTTCAGATCGTTGACTAGCATGCCGAGAATGGGTCTGTGCTCGGAGTCGTATCGAAACGCCGAGTCCAGGAATTTGGGATACGTCAGGAAGTCGAACACCTGATCGCAACGCTGCAACGACTTGTCCGTGAGATGTGGCTTGATCAGTTCCTGCAGCAACGACCGGCAGCGTTCCAACGAGCCCATCAGATACTCCTGGTCGTAACTGTAATCCACTTCGTAGAACGACACGACAGTCATCGCAACCGCCCCCAGGGCCTCACGTAGCTCATCCAGCTTCTCGGCGTCGCGTGGACGGAATTGATGGCTGCGCTGCACAAGTCCGATCTGCGAATTGCGGTTCAGATTCGCGAGTAATTTACACGCCACGGCGGAGAAAAATATCAACGTAAAATTTACAAGTTTTATAACTTCACTCCGTGAAAACAATAATGTTAACTCTGTGTGAAAATGATAATAATAATAGAAAAGAGAGTTTTCATATTTCTTTAAAAATAATTCAAGAAACTTTTCACTTTTTTGAAGGAAGTTAACTTCCTTCAAATTCTTTGGACAACGTCCACGATTGAGGGTCAAATTTTTCTCTCGAGTGTATACCTTAATAGACAGCTTGACGATATTCTTGAGAACCTTCTCGGGTTCTTTCTTGTCTAGGTGCGGGTTGCTTTTGGCAACGCTCTCCATCAGTTTGTAGACGTTGTCGAGCAACGACGTCGTGGCGTCGTCGATGAAAAGCGACCGGCCGGCATTTGTGGACACTATGCGGCCCAGAAGCTTTTTCTGGGCGCGCAATCCTAAATCGCGGGTGCGACTTCCGGTTCCGTTACCGCCGGAATACGATCCTCCTCCTCCTCCTCCGCCACCGCCACCGCCGCCGCCGCCGCCGCCGCCACCTCCTCCACCACCTCCGATTGTGTTCGCCGACTGCATCACTGCAATAGTTTCGCACAATGAACGACCACAGCTTGTTACATATCGCAACCGCATTGGCCCGCGTTGTTCTCACTTTTGTTTTAAACGCAACCGCGCTCTCTCGTTTTGTTTGTTACGAGTATCGTGCTGCGAACTTTTCAATTGCAAATAATCGCAAATATGTGATTCCGCGCGAAACTCTATCTCATGCTCTACGTCATATTAGAAAACTTTTAGCATTCGAGAATTTAGGTTTTGTCAATTTTAAATTAATTCTATAGTAAATGAGTATTTTATATATTATATTTAATATTATATGTGTGTATCAATTTTATATAATTTGACATTTTTAATGTTTCAAATAATATCTGACGTAATTGTTTTTAATAATTTTTTCAAATTTAATAAAGAATTTGTAATAGACTTCATGTAAGTACATACACGTGTTGTTCAACAACAGAGAAGCGGGTTTCTTCTTAAAAAAAAAAAAAAAAAAAAAAAAAACCGCTAACGTCTTAATAACTCGCTACAATAGAACGGTAGAACAAAAGAATTGCGCGTGTTTCTCGAATGTGGCACAAAAGTAGAAAGTCTGACGACTCTTCGAGAAAGACGGGACGTTTACACGATTCTCAGTCTCCTGAGAACGGAGGTTTCCGCGTCTTATCTCGATCGCGGCTTGTGCAACGATCTGTGGGCGTGCATAGTGTTTCTGTGTGTGTGTGTGTGTGATATTAACACACTTTAATTGTGACAAACTCACCGTCAAGCATCGGTAGACCACCGTTTCCTCCGGTTTCGTGATAACGCACGAAAAATGGAAAATCAAACAAAACAACTAGCGGCGAAAAACTCGAATGAGTGTGCGTGTGTGTGAGAGGCGAATGATCCGCAGCGTAAACTCAGGCAAATGTAACTAAAATAAAATCAAAAGGGATCAAACAAAGATTGTCGAGCGTAACACACATTGTTTGTGTGTAACGCGCGTTGTGAACACAAATGTCATGGGTTCAAGTGAGCGTGAGACGAGCGACGAATCTTCTTCACTACCTTGATTGCAGTCGGTGACGGCCACTAAGTGGTAGAGCAGCCAGCTCTGTAATTCCATCACGGCCGTGCCCCACGCCACCTGCGAGCGATAAACAAACATCCGGTTAAATATTTATGGAAATATTTATATGTGTATCCGGTTAAATATTTATGGAAATATTTATATGTGTGCGCGCGTGCGCGTCAGTTAGGATCTCAATTAACGCCACAAAAGTTCTGGCAGAGTCGCGAAAAAACAAATAAGCTGTAAAAATGCGAATAATAATATATTACCATTAAACGTAAAACAGTCTGAAAATTAATAGTCAGTAAACAGAAATGTTATATACAATAAAAATACGCTGTAAATTAATTTCCCATCGTATTATCGCGATTAATTACGTTGTCGCGAGTGAAACGAATGAAAAACTCGCGGTGTTTTCGACAAAATATTTGTTTACGCACAAAGAAAGTCGATGTAATTATTGAAAATGTTACAAAAAAAAACCATTACTGAAAATGTTAAAAATAGTCATTGTTGCAAAAGTCTCTCTTCCGTTTCATGTTTCACAGGCGATGAAAGCGCGCGCTGCGTTTTTATTATAACACAAAAGACAGCTTTGAGACCGTCCTCGTGTAATTTCGCAAAATGGTTTATTATCGCGAATCAAAAAGTAAGGGCTATACTTTTTGCCCCGAAATCCGTTCAGCGAATCGCTAACAATAGCCGCTCGATTCTACGAAATATAATACAAAGCCTCGTTCACAAAACCGGTCGAGATAAAGTTAATTACGCTCCGTTGTGCGAATTAAAAGTATCATCGACGATGTGAATCAATTTGCTCGTAATGAGCGTTCGTAAACAAAAAAAAAAAAAAAACAAAAGATGCAATTCGCAAAACTTCCCCCCGCGAGAAAAGCTTCGCAGATGTCGAAATGAAAAATTTTTACGTGCGCTTTTTTATATCAGACAAGAAGATTACGGGACAAAATATATCCTTTACGTTCATGTACGTTGTTGCGTGTCTCGTAAATATTCTCGCAAATACCGGCCTTTTCAGAGCGCCACTAGCCTTGACATCGATGGAGGCTCTTTCAGCAAAAGAGACACAAACTTCAAGGATACAAATTGTTATTTTTTACATATATAAAAACTTGTGATATTGCGCTTCGCTATAATAAATAATAAAAAAAACAACTTTACAAACCAACGTAAATAAAATATAAATACAATTTGCACGATGTTCGAAACATCTCGGCGTTTCGTTATGTGCAAATGTTTTTTTTTTTTTTTTTGTGGTTTTATTTGTTCACGAAGTCAATTTCGCGCGCATCGACGGAGAACATCTCATCTCTTTCTCTCTCTTAGCTCGGACAATAAGTCTTAACGAGCGCGAACGATCCTAATGTTGGAAATGAAATGTAACGCGAGAGAGCCAACGACATCCATGTCGCGAGCGATTATTCGCGTGTATGTGTGTACGCACGTATGTACGCATGTACGCGCGCGGTATAAGCCACTACTACCTTTGGCAGTTGAATCGATTTGTAAGGAGCGTCAAGGCGAGCCAGAGACTCTCATTCAACCTTTGAACACAACTGAACGGACGGCGGGCAATCGATTAAAAAAAAAAAAAAAAAAAAAAACTCGGAGAATTCGCGTCGAACCGGGTATTCCTAAACCATTTACATTCCGACGTTTTTGTACGCGAGATTAATAAAAGAAAAAAAAACGTTTTGGTTGCAGAATGTTCCGAATTTTTGTCCAAAATGCTATCAAGAAACAAAATGTAAAAACAGACATGCGACAAACCTACGAGATAAAAAAAAAAAAAGTAAATTTGAAAGATTTAAAAAAGAATAGGAGCGGATATCGGAGAAAATAAACAGAATAAAAATAAACAGAAAAAAATGCGCTACATGTGTGTGTGTGTGTTATTGTCATATAACACAACCAATGTGTTAATCAGAATAAAAATTTAGATGAACAAAACGCGAATAACAGACGGAAAAATATCGGAGCGAATACAAAAAAAGAGAAATAAAATCGAGAAATTTTTTCATCCGAAATACATAAAATCAAAAAAATATCAATTTTTTCCCCGGTAACGAGGAATATCGTGTCAAATTTTTCGAATTTTGAGATTAATTAAAATTTCGATTTAATATTAACAAATAAGTTTTTATAACATCCGTGTGCGTATCCGCTCCATAGACTTGTATATTGCTGTGCAATCGCGATGAGCCACGGCGATTTAATTAATTCATCCATTTTTTCCGCTTTCATACCGTAATTCCCGGGTTGACAATTCCGACGTTCGCGAAATATATGTGCGACCTCGCGAATCCTGAGCCGCAGTCGCAAGAGCGATGCGTGAGAGAGCGCGTTTATAAATGATCGATCGCCGGACACTTTCGCTCTCTCTTTCTCCGCTTCGCGACCTCTTGTCAGGACTCCGTTTAGGGCGCCCACGTCGGCGCTTTCAGTCACCTGTGCACTGTCGCGTGCTCATTCAAACATGTACACACACACACACACATGGCTCCGTGTGTGTACACGTCCCCGATCGTTACTCGGGACTGTGCACACAATTCCGTGTGAAAAATACCCGGCGAATTTTCCGATGCGCGTGCGAAATGCAAAGCGGAGAAATAAATCTGCTCCCGTTGATAAATCGAAGAAGGGAAGCTTTATCGGATAATTTCCGATTTACGCGGCAGATAAATAATACGCGACGATGTGGCGTCGATGTTGTGTAAAATTTCGAATGAAAACAAACACAGAGCGCTTTGGCGTTTTCTCTCTTCATCTCGCCGCGAGGAAAAATACATTTTGCCCGCGGAAATGTTGTTTCGAAAGCGCGTTAAACGACGCAATTCGATCGCAAACTCGAATGACGATTCGCTGTCAACTGTTATATCGCGTATCACAACGTTGGCGCATTTGTGATGATCGCAGCGATAAAAACAAACGCCACACGTGAGCGAATTCGTGATTTACAATTGCGATTCGCGGAATAATCAACTTGGGAAATAAAGTCCTGTTTGGATAGCTATTTCTTTACCGGCGTATACATCTTTCAAGACCGTCCATCAGGTGGCTTGTCTTTGGAATATTCGATCGCCGGCTATAAATAACAACTTGTATCTCTTGCTCGCTTGAGTTCGATTTACTCCCCTCGTCCCGCTACAATCTGATTCGATACGTACACGTATGTATTGTGTGTGTGTGTGTGTGTGTGTGTGTTTATATATGTATGTATATTATATACATGCGAGTTTACACCGCGAAAAGCATTTCACCAGAATCTAGTCTCGCTTCATGGAAAACCGGTTAGATCCGCGCAACTCGAATCTTCACATCGTAGAATATAATTTTGTCTGCGCCTCGCGGTCCGCGCACACGACGACAGATGCACCCCCCGGTGATCTCAAACAACGCTTAAAAAAATTTCGCAAAGTTAAATCACTTCGATTTAAAATTTATTCCTCCTCGAGAGACACAACTCCCCGACGCTGGTTATATTTGCTCGAAACACATTACGGAAAAGATGTTACAGAATGTGCATCTCTTCTCTTGAGAGAGACCGCAAAGTTGTGTTATCAAAACGCCATGCAACTTTGATTTTCTTTTTCATTTGTTTATCGCGTATTTTAATTGTATTTTCACTTTATTCCATTGTTTTTTTTCGTATCTTATATTCTGATTTACTCTTTCGATCTGCTCTTCCTGTGTGTTTAAAGTTTTTAACTCTCTCTCTCTCTCTGACATTTTAATAAGAGATAAGATAAACTAAAAATATAAAAAACTTGAGAATTTTGTAACATATGTAGCGTAAAATTCATTTACAGGCGACTCGGAAGCTTTTCCATCATCCATAAGTTCATCAGAAAGTTTTTCCCAAGATCGAACGAACGTCACACACACACACGCGCGGAAACGATAACGCTGTGTGTTTGGGATGCGTATCCGTTCGCTACAATATAAACGCGCTGATCTGAGGGGAGGGAACGGGAAGAGGGGACTGGCACTTCCGCGTGTCCGCAGCCTCGAAAATTGCACTTATCGAAATTGCAGAGCGGTTTCAGGAGTGCCTGGCAATATCGGCACTCACGATGAGCGCGAGCTCTACGCGACTGTCGTGAAACAATGCCGCTGTAAACTACTAGGCCGGGATACGAGGCAAACGTAATTATCGGTTCTCCATACACGTTTGAAGAGCGAGAGAGAGCGAGAGAGAGAAAGAGAGAGCACGCGCGCGCGCGCGTCCCGAATATCGGTGATGTGTGGTTCGATACTGTTCTCTTCATGTCTTCACACATAAACACACACACAAAGAGTAGCGCAGGTAGCTTAACGTTTGCGTCAACGCGCCGAATTAAACGGACGTTTTACACGTGGAACGGTCGCGTAATGACGTCGAACGAGAACCACCCCTCATTAGGGTAAAGAGAGAGACGCGCGCGGAGAGACTTCGCGCAAAGAGAAACGGAGATTAAAAAGGCTCGAGAGCAAATTATTTGTCGGTATACACGTGCTGAACACGCGCACTAACACAAACGCAACACGTGCGGTTTCTTTAACGAACGGGGCGAATGAAAAATTTTATTTTATTCACACAGTAAATACTCACACACACACACACACACACGTTTTCTGTCATCTCTCTAAAATTAGTCGCTACCAGAGTCATTATCAGAGAAACGTCGTGTCGTTATCGTTAGACGCGTTGTCGAAAGACGCGAAGCTACAATCAACATTTTCCGGAAAAATGTTGATTAAATTGAACATCTGTCGTTGTTTGTGTCAACACCGGTACTTCCGCGAGAGTAAAACGGATGACGAGTTTTGATGACGAAGCTATTGAAGAGCACTTGTTTTTCTCGGAGAAATCACGGCAATGAGTAAATAAAAAATGACAGACATCGCGCTGCTGTGAAATATCGCGATGTTCAATACACATATTTCTTTCTCTCTCTCTCTCTCTCTCTCTCTCTCTCTCTCTCTCTCTCTTTCTCTTTATTTTTTTCCGTAATTGCAGAATTATTCCGATCAAATATACACGTATTGTGTGTTTAATAATGGCTGTTAAACAGAGAGACGGAAATATTGACGCAATGAAAAATCTGATTTAATTAATTCCTCTAATAAAATATTCATAAAACATGTCTATTATATTTTATTAAAGCTTTAGATTGAACTCAATAATATAATTGCACGTATAATCTTGGAACGCAGAAGGCGTTCAAAACAGAAGAAAAAAGGCGAAATAATTGCGGATTAACGTTAACGTAATTTTACGAATAAATATTATTAAGTATATAAAAAAATCTAAATTTGTATATTATACGTATACATTTCTTACCTCGATCACACATCCGCTTTAATTGCGTTCTCACAAAGCAAAACAGCCATTTTTACTCACGCTACATACATTTAATATATAAATTACCGTATAAATTTTCCCACGGCACTTCGAAACGCGGTCTTCGTCGACTGCGCCGTGTTGTACGAGCGATACAATTACTTAGCGCGCGCGCTAGCGAAACGTATCGAACAGCGCGAGGTTCATTAGCAAAGTTTATTCGACCGGCGCGGGTTACACACGCGGGCACACAGCTTTTTTACGTTATCTTTGTATTTTTGAAACTTTTTTACGAGGAAAATCGATCGCGGGTATCGACTACGACGACGACGCCGAAGAGAGCGCGAATCGTCCACTGTGTGCTCGCAATGTTTACTGGCGCAATACTATTACCGGGAGAGAGATGGAGAGAGAGAGAGAGGTCGGGAGCACCCGGGTGTTGTGTGAACCCTCCTCGCTTTCTTTTCGCGCCCCAAGACGCAGCTGTCGCGCCACCGACGAGCAGCTGTGCCGCGACCGGCAGCACGCGTATTCTACCCCTCCTCGTTAAACTGAGCATCTTTGCTCGGGATAACCGGCCACCTGCCCCCCGGACTTATAATGTACGGGGAAGTAACAGCCGCGATATGCGTGCACAGCAAGCAGAAGCACGTGGTCAAGTTTCTACAACGTACAACGACTCCGTAGAGACAAGTTAGAAAGACGCGGATTACGCAAAAGCAAAACACGTACTTTCTGTTAAAGACGACTTCGCGAGATCGTTGCACTCTCTCGAAACCACACCACGTTCGAAATCTAACCCTTCTTCTCTTCCTTTCGTTTCGGGATTACGGATTTCTCAGCAACGCAAATGGCGCGTTTTCACACAATCGATCGCGTTTTTTATTTGATTTTTTTAAATACCGAAGAAATTTTACAAAACTTCTGCCATCTTTCTTTGAGAGTCTACTGACGCGTGTGTCGTGTTGTTGTATTTAATGAAAAACAGTTTTATCTAATTTATTTTTAATGGATTTTTAATGAGAGAGATTTTCGAAAAATGCCGGACGACAAAAGAAAAAAGAGACTCAACGATTCAGAGTTTAAAGTTGACTCGCGCGTTAATTTCTATTTAAATACCGAAAAATACACATGAAATGCATTTCTTTTCCTCGTACAAATCCCCGATACCAAACGCATAAATTCGCAGGAACGAAGCGTCCTTAATTACACGCACACACACACAGATATATTCGAAAAGCGGAAAATAAAACCACGCCGTTCTCTGCGAGAAAACAGGTTTAATAAATTCCTAACGACTGCTACTTATTTCGTCGATCAATAATTATTTTTTACGCAGACACAGGTTTACGAGGAAACTGTTTGAGACGTCGCACATCCTGCATCTCTTGAATTGCTTAAAAAAAAAAAAAAAAAACATACATCTAGAAACTGAAATAACTCGGCGTTCGGTACTGAAACGCATTCATTAATCAATTTTCTAATTAAATTCTCTAATGCGCGTCACAGAAATAAAACGACGCTGTTAGCAAACACTCGCCACTCCTCCGGCGAGTATCCTTTCCGTTATATCTTCTTTCTCTCATATACGAACGTGAAATGGCCAAGGCTGCCGATGATACGAATTCCGCGCGTGTTTGAATAATAAAAAAAATACACGACGACGGAGGGAAGGGGGGAGGGGCAAGATATATACGTAACATCACCTCGTCACGACAAGGTCGCAATAATAGGGAAAATTAACACGGCTGTTATCGCTCTTACGAGAATTACGTTGATGTGCGTGTTTCGCCGCGAAACACGCATATCTCCCATATACATTCGCGCAACACCTTCTCTACTTTGTATGAATATTTCCCGCACAATATCGCGTATATTATCGCAAAAAGTTACGGGAACACAGGCGGTAATTACCTGAAGTCTCGGTAATTGTCAGAAAAATCCACAGATTGGCCTGAAAATTCGAATGAAGAGCTTCGAGAAAAAAATAACAAGAACTACGTAACTAGTCGCGAATAATCAAATTCTTACTTCGATACAGAAAGTAAGAATTAATTTAAAAAAATTTAACGAAGAATAAAAGAGTCAAAAATCAATTGTAAAACAAATTGAAACCATTACGTTACACGAACCATTACGCGTCGCGGGTATAAAAGTCGAAATAAAATTCCGCAAATCCAAAACACGCGTATGACGTGTGTGTAAAAATTACAATCGGACAAAAAGTCTGGTCGACGTTATTTTATCCATTAAGTGTAAAACTTTGCAATACGCGTCGGAATCGTTTCATTTTGTGACATTTCGTTCTGATCGACGATTCAATCGCGTGAACCAATTACCGTTCGACATTTCCGTGCTGATGTCAACGGCACACTTTCTTTGATCGAACGCACTCAATGACGCAAGAGAACGTATTAAAACAATGTACGATGGACGAGTTGACATCGAATGTAATACGCACGTTCTCAGAATAGCATGCGGAATAGAAGACTGTAAAAAAAAAACAAAAAAATGGATACCAATAATCACATCTCTGTGTCTAATCATTCAAGTACAATCTTTCGCGTTCTTCGACTTTTATCCAAACGAATGTTGTTTAGATTTTCTAATTGGATTCTCGTTTTCAAAACGTTTTACAGACGTTTTACTTTTAATCAGAATTCGAAAATACAGAATTATATCAGAATTTTAAATTTCTTCAAAAGACTGAATTGTCTACTGTAAATCAAAGCCAAAAATTTATTAAAAAACTAATTAGATCAAAATAAAATATTTACAATTGTTAATTATGATTAATATTTGCACATCTAATTAAATTATCATTCATTAATTACCTTACTACCTCGTGAGAAATTTCTATGCGGGAAATGCGTTTGTGCGCGAGAAAACGCACACCCGCCGTTTTTCCTCGCACCCAGGATTCGCGCGACTCCGACGCAAAACTCGCGCGCGTGCAACGAAAAAGTCGTCCGTCGTCGTTTTTCTCGCAGAAGGGGAGAAACGCCGCAATAGTCGTGTCGTGGCGCAACGCGCAACGCACGTGTGTGCATGTGCGGCGCGTTGCACTATCCGCGGACTTATGAAAAACCGGTGCATCGCGTTCCTACGCGCCCGTAATTGGAAGCAAGCGCGCGCGGGCAACGCGCGAACAACAGCCTCATTCATCGCGCGCGGTTACTCGTTAGCTTCTTCTATTTACGGCACAACCGGCGCGCATGTAACGCCGCGTGCGCGATTACACGCGCGCATACGCTCGTCCGACCGAATACAACGCCTCGGAAATTTCGTTAAAATTTCGAACGAGCTTCGTCAAACTCAAGAGAGTCAATTTGCGAGCAAAAAAAAAAAAAAAAAACACGAAAAGAGAGCGTTCGAAAGTAAACAATTCCTTCGAGAATTAAATATCGAAAAAGAAACTAAAATGGATGCGCGGATAAAATTCTCGCGGTGCTTTTAAATCGAAGTAGATTTTTTGTTAAATTGAGTTTTCAACAAAATATCCGACATTGAATAAAAAAAATGGAACAAACAGCGGCAACGTTGATTCAAATATTTCATATAAAAAAAATTTATATTCTTTTAAAAATACTTTTATTATTCTATTCTTGCAAAATTTTTTTTTTTATAATCTTCTATTCTACTAAAAAAAAAATTTATATTTTTCTGTTCTTTTGAAACTTATAATTCTTTGATTTTTTTTCCTTCTAAGCTGTGTGAAGAGTTTTCCTTTCTACTTTAATTCGCAATTAAATTACGCGCGCGATTTGTACACTGGATGTGTAAATACGTTATTGATCGCGCAAAGTCAATACTTGCTCCTACAAGATAATAAAGCAAAATAGATTTCTGAAATGTCTTATGTCACACACTTGTGCGGCAACACACGCGTAATACACTTGTGCTTGCAGGCGACAGGGTTATTTAGAAACAACGTATGTGTGTGTATGTATATAAAATACAACTCTTTTATACTTTGTCGCGCGACAAAGCAACTCACGAACACGAGTTTTCGCGAATTTCACGAGTTCGATATTTTTCGCCGACAAACTGTGCGCGCGTCCGCACCGATGAAAATTCATGCATCGTGAAAAAGGATTTTCACGCTTTAACGATCATCGATTTTTTTTCGTCTGTGAAACCCTCGAGTTTTTCTACGAATAAGAATTATATTCGATTATTCCGTATTGATACGCGCACGATAAAGTAACGTTGGCAGTTTGTTCGGAGAGGGGAAAAAATTGTATATCGGGCTATCGATAAAGTGCGTCTTCTCGCGGACCGGAGAGATACACAACGCGATCGTTCGACGCGACATCGATATTCGATATAAATTTTTTCCAATTCCCTATTATTAACAAGTTAAAATAAGAATTAATTAAAAATACGACACGTCTCATTTGCCGACGATAAAAATAATGATTCTTTTAAGAAGATCCCGTGTGTGCCCATGTCTCTCCTATTAATCGCATCGAATGTGCGAAAAACTTCTTATGCGAGAAACAAAGAGAGAAAAAAACTAATGGCGGTTCTCCGTTTATCGTCGGGAGCGCGATATGACACGGAAAATTAGATTACGGTTTGAGCCGAGGTAAACATGAATTAACGATATTTGCATAATTCAAACCGATATATAGAGCGAGAAAGAACCGAGCCAGGCCTAAGAATCGATTTTTTCCGACCTCGGTAAACGTCGCGCAACTACGCCGGTCTACCCTAAGTATATTCTTTTTTTTTTTTTTTTTCTATTATCTTGTATATCAAATAATATTATTAATCCTTCCGTGAACTGACTTTCAAAACTGATGACTGGTTGAACTGACTGGGTCTGTGAGATCCACGCGACTTTGAAATCAAATATCTTTGCGAAGAATCAATATTTTTTCAATTTTGGTTTTTTTTAATCAAAGATTGAACGATTTTGCGTCGACCAAAAAGATAACAAATAGAAAAAATCTCTAGTTTCTAAGATATAAACGTCAAAAAAACTAAGTTTTACTAGACGTCGATGCGTAATTTCTGAGTGGGTCTGGAAAACCCACGTCATTCAACGAAAGGTTAATCATATTAAATATTACTCGATATTTATACGTTAAATAAATTACATATCGTTCTCTTTATTAGTTTTTGTATCGTATTTACGGTACTGAGATGTGTACAAAGTGCAGAGTACACACACCACGCGTCGATCGAACATCCGAGTTTAGTCCAATGTCAATTGAAACGTTCAGTCGACTCTCTTATTTACTCCCGTTACTAGGTGGCTGCGGAAAAAGACAAACTATCAAAGTTAACAACTACAGTTGTGTGTCGCTAAACTCAATTGACTTTCGGCGAAGTGTAGGATAGTCGCTCCTAGTTCCAGTTGCTGAACGTGTGCGTTTTACGACACAGCGTTAAATCACTACGAACAAATGACGCAATTAAAAAAGCGACTTCTCGCACGCGCGTTGCGAAATGCGCATCCGTTTTCTTTTCTTCCGCGGTTGGATAACTCGGGTTTTTTTTTTTTTTTTTTTTTGTAATTTAATCTCTCCCGTCCGATCGCTTTCGTAATATGTATAATAACTGTGATTCACGCTAATCGATGTCTATATTTAGACTATCACGAAAGTTTGCATGATATGCGGACTTATTCTCAGGATAAGACGGGACTTTCTCATGTACGCTTTCACTAAATCAAGAATCATTAAACTTTTTTTCGCGCGCGTCACTTGTACTATGATATTTAATATAAATTATAATTTATATTTTTCATTTAATATAGTCAATAATACATTTACATTCGCATTTCGATGAAATTGCGACTGCGGAGAAAAAAAAACAAAATTATTTGTCGCAATTAAATTGAGAATCAATTTTTTTTATAATTCCGCGACTTGATCGAGACGCATGAAACTTTAATGACGCCGGAATTTATTACGTGCGATTGAAAATTCTGAATGTAAAAAACATTCATGACGTATCGTCGATGATTCCGTTGTATAATACATTTTGCTTCCATATTCTCGAATAAATTTGCAATCGGGTTAATTTTCTGGCAAATAATTTCGAGAGTTAATTGCGATGTATTTCCATTTGTCTGTTTTTATCGTTTTGTACACGTATGTGCAATGGAAGTTTTATATATACGTACATACTTTTGTCATTACCGTTTTCGATAACTCACCGTCCGATAACTCACAAGGATTTTCTGTCTCTCGATGACTCACGCGGCGACTCAACACAAAATCGCGAGTGGCTCATCTTTCCGCGTTTTGTCGCGTGAGACTTTTTTTTATTCGCGTTTCTTGAACTTCCGAACTGAACGCGGAGAAAATTGAGATTGCACGACACCTAGTTTTGCTGACGCGCTGTTCGATACATTATTATACGCGCTCTAGTATTAAGGTCAAACGAGGTCATTAAAATCGTTAAGCAAATGGAGCGACGTAATGATAATTAAAAAAAAAAAAAAAAAGAATAAAAAAACCCAAACTCAATAGCTGTTATAAAATCGTATCGCGTGTGTGAAAATCCGTGACGAATATGTATTACGACGTGTAATTCTATGGAGTAATTTTACTCCAAAAATAATTATTCTATAATTATCGCAAGCTTGAATGTAGTTGTTTATTCGAAAAATAGGTCGCGTTGATTCACTCGACGTATCAACTCGTGTAATTACGTCGCACGACAGATAACATAATATAAATTTGAAATATATACATATAAATGTCCTTTTCGACGTACGTGTAGAATGTATTTTAACACTTTGTGAGCACGTTTATCAATAACAACGCACAAAGACCTGAATCAACATTGAATTTAAGCGTTTGAAGCACGGCAACACAAACCGCACGATATATGTTAAAAGTAAGCGAAAAAACGTCTCGGAAATACCAAAGGAAGAAAAAAAACGAATGCCTTTTAACATCTCCGATTACCACGTCGAGCTGTCGAAATGTCGGAAACCGCGGCGAGTCGGGAGGAAATAGATGTGGTAACTTTTTGATATTTGACGAAAAAGGTGATGTTTTTAAAATACACTCTCGATAGATGAGTGGCAAAACAAAAAATATTAAAAAATATAAAATAATATAAAAAAATATAAAAAAAAATAAAAGTGTTTTGATGTAATAATCGTCAGATTTCGAGATGTCATTTCAAAATATAGGTACGTAATAATATTTGATTTAAAGATGTTCTTCCGTGTGTTTACAAATATATACGGTAGTATTATGAAAAAAATACACAACAAATATACGGTTTTATTAAATATAAACTAAATCGAGAAATGAGACTTTTTGAGAGCTGCGTGTAAATTTTCTATGTGTATTAATTTATATACGTTAATAAATATACATGTCGCACATATACATCCAACGTGTTCTCTCAAAGTTCTGTTTCTTAATTTAACTGAAACAAACTCCTTTTAATAGCAGTAATAAAAAGTTTTTTCTTGCGACAAAGATAAGAAAGATATTTTACCACCTGGTGTAAGAACTGAGATGTCATTTAAAAAAAAACAAATGTATAATATTTAAAGATATCTTCTCTGTTGTATTTAAATGCATATATTATTAAAAATCCTTGCGACAATTAATTAAATATTTTTGCCTCACTGTGATAGAAAGACATTTTACCTGACGTGTGTTTCTCATGCGATTCATCTTAAAGACACAAAAAAAAAAAAAAACACTTCCAGTCATTTTTCCCCGAGGAAATTATCTGCGTAAATGAAAAAAAATTTGACGCAGCCAGAGGAGAGTAAACTTTAGTCAAAACGATTCCAGGATCCGGGCGAGAGAAAGACGTTTTCGTGGGAATACGGACGATAAAGCTACAAAAATTTCACTGTGTGTAATGTACATGTGTAATATACTCGGAGAGTGCCCGGTGGCAATCTCTCCTTCTTCGGATGTTAAATTTCTCATCTCCGCTCTTCGTCCCTTTGTCGCTGAGTTTTTTTTTTATTTTTTTTTATTTTTTTTTTATCTTCTCTCGCGAGGCTCTTTCCTCAATTTCTTATGTGTCACGATAACGAACAGACATGTACCACTCGCCGGGAGAGCACAAAAGCGTGCTCTCCCGCCGCGACACATTAGCGAATTAATCCGGAAGCAACGACGCGGAACAAATGAGTCATTTTATTAATAAACGTTGCCATACTATTAATAAAAAAAAAAAATTACGTTAGTATCTCCCGATGGAGAAAACAAGGATTTTCATATAAATTTCAAACTCTCTCACGTCATATACCGGTTAGGTATATTGTGTACGTGCTTCCAACCCTTAAACGCAACAGAGGCTTTCCCCCCGGAGAACTTTTAAACTTCGTGCTAAACTTCGGAGCAAAGCTTTGCTTGAATAGATTTTGTCAGATTTTGAACTACGTTTTTAAATACATAGATACGGAGATATATTTACAAATATATCATATTTGATAGTTTGAAATATAAAACAAAATAAAAAAATTGTTGCGTTTAAAAAAGTTAGACACGAAGTTGCAGCGTATTAAAACGTTTTTCACGCGCCAACTTCGGGTCACATCTCGCGTGTCGCTGCCTGTAAAATTCGTTTTTCTTACAAATTATCACGCGAATATCGCGTACGTCACATTTTTTTTTTCGAAATAAGAAACAAACGCGTTCGCACAACGTGCGAAGTCTCGAAGACGCAAAACAAACTCCGAATCTTCCGCGTGAAAACTAACTGCGCGCGCAAACAAATTTTAATTATATCGAAGAGACCGATCGCGGAAGCCCCGAGCTACGTCGAGATGTTGAAAGAAAATTGTCACATCACGTCACACAACCGCTACGTGTAATCCCGCGCGATTAATCAAGAGGGTTATCCAGATGAGGAAGCGTCGCGCAATTTTGCACGCGACGGCGCGCAACAATCGCGTCTCGTTTCGTGCGATTTGAATTTCAACGCAAATCGCACGTAGATTTGTATTTATTTCGTCGTCACTAACCTCTGCCGATGTTGCGAGTCGCGTGAGCGCGACCCGACCGCGAATGACGAAATATCACCACGAGGTATCTCCGCGTGTGCGCGCGTAATCGTTTGCTTTATGCGTCGTCTTCGCGATCCTCTTCTGATACGCGATTGTCCCTCGGAGTGTTTCACTGATTCACCGTCCAATTCCAGAGAGATAGACGAGAACTAGTAGTTGGTAAAAATACAAAACCGCGCGCGCGATTAATTAATGTGAGAAATTACGCGATTGACACACACTCCGCCGCGCGCCACACTTGCGAAGAGACACGAGACTCCACGCAAAGACACGTCCGTCGCGCTTCGCGACCGAGCGACGTCTAGTGTTGTGATTGCGATGCGCGCACGAAAACCCACCCCGGTTTCCATGACAGCGACACGTGGCGCGTGCGCGCAATTCTCGAACTCGCGAGTATTCACAGCGCGTGTAACGTCAAGCTGCGGAAATTGCGCCACGAACATTTTTCGATCATCAAGACGACAACGGCGAATAAAAAGAAAAATATTTGAATTTTTAACTACGTAAAGTGTAGGAGATCGTGGGAAAATGTAAATATAAAAATTATATAAAAAATTATTACATCACAATTTTTTTTTTTCAAATTTCTCTCTTCTCTCGAAAAACTCTAAAGAATAAATGACAGTTCGAAATAATTCGAGAGTGACTATCAAGTTCCTGCGATCTTCTCCAGGATAATAAAATTGTAAAGATTTGACGGTGAAATTTGAACAAACAAACAATGACAAATAATTGAATAACTATTTGCCAGAGAGCTCTCTCGAAAGAAAACAACTTGTTTTCATATACAAAATAAAACAAAATGTATTCAATATATCCGCGTTTTCCAGATCGTTGTAAAAAGTTACTAAAAATGTAGAAAAGTAATACACACAACATAGACAAAGTTTTTTGAAAGAATTGCGAGAGAAAATGTTACATTTTTCAAAAACTCAATTATGTATTGTACATTCTCTTCGTGTTTCTTATAACTCGATTCTCATTCTGGTCAATTAAAAATATCATTGTTTCACTTAACGTCCGTGTACTAAATTTTAAAATACAAAAGAATCCTTGATTAACTTGTTCATCCTCATTTCTCTCCTCCGTCACTAATAAAATTACCTGTGCTATAAAAAAAAAAATAAAAACAACCGGTTATAAAAGACGAGATAAATTGCAAAGAATAATCTAAATTGTCCTTTTATTAAGATTCTTCGTCGGACGCACTGTCTTCTGGCACTATCTATACATACAACTGGTTAACAAGCGTATCGTTCAACAAACAGCTTCAAATCATGTAAAGACAAAACATTTATCAATGCGATACGGTAATTATTGTATTGTAGCAGTGTTAATTGACGTCTTTAGAATGAGAACTTTTAGCGCACAGAGGACGCGATGGGATACTAAAAAACTGTCTGACCTGATATAAACTCTGTGCGTTTGATATGATCACGAATGTCCCTCGAATTTTATTTTCGATTCATAAAATCATCATTCGCTCCGCCATCGTTTGTGAATCTGCCGCAAATGATTGTAAGCTCGTTGGGAGATATTGAGCTCGGAGTTTATCGAACACACGTCCGGATGTCCTAAGAGACTTAAGCCACACAGACCTGTTAAAAGAGTCAAATTTTGTATAAAAGATTTGTGCTTTCTTTTGTGTATTACATTATTATTTTGTGTGTTATTTTATTATAATTTACCTAAATATGTATGCAAGGGATCAGGCCGAGTGTTCTCGAACTTTGCCAATCCTCCGGTGACCTTGTCCTGAGTTCTGAGAATAAATTCCTTATTCTGCTCGGCGTCCGAAAAGTTGAGGAACTGTAACAGTTCAAGCGTAGCACCAACCCAGAAACTGTAACACGTATCGGACGGTTTTCCAGGCCTTCCGTGAAATCCGCCATCCTGTCTCATAAGGCACCAACGCTCCAGCCGAGCCAAACGATCCTGCCCCAACACGTCCCATATAACAACGTGTTCCTTCATCAGAAACAAACTCGCCACCGCACAGAAAGTGGATCCACCGTGAGACTCGAGACCCGGTCCTTGACCAATACCGCCGTCATACGACTGTAAAATATAATGCAAAAATGAAAACAAAAAAACTCCAAATCTTACACCAACATCAGTACTACATGACGAGAAAACAAATACTTACAATGCTTCGTAGAATGTAGTCCACAGCTCTTGGAATGTCAATACCCGACCAGTCGTCTAAAATCGCAGAAACGCAAGAAGCACAATAGAGAAACCTCATGTCACTCTCGCATCCGGTGACCATCGCGGTGAAGGATCCGTCGGGATTCTGACAGGCGCGAACACCCTCGACGATGGACTTTCTGTCCACTCGACTCAGATCGTCATCCAGGATAAGAAGAGTGACCAAACCGGTGTACGTCATCGCCAAATGACCGCACTGATAATCTGGGGTATCCTTTGGTATTGTTGTTGAGGCCTGAAAGCCGGAACGAGGTCCGGCTTTCTTCAGCTGAAGGCCGTAAATCCACTCGATCGCCTCGGATCTGGTTTGCTGGTCGATCTCGTCCAGCGAATTCAACACGTCCAAACCAGATAACGCAAAATATGCTATCATCAGTCTGGTGGAATCAAATTCTGCCATACTGCTCGGTATCATCTGTAGTACCCTGCGGAAGTATTTGGCATGTTTCTCCTTCGCCAGGTGCAACGTCATCATTGTATATTATCGCGCGCGTTAATTCGATCACCAAAAAAAAAAAAATACCGCTCTCTCGCAAATCGACGTTGTCAACAAACTTCGTCTCAAATTACATGCCGAACGCGCGCCGTCGTTGTGCGAACATGATAACGACTCATATGTGCAATATTAATCAGTCTGTTCTCTCGCTCGCGTTTCCATATTGGCTTGTCAAACCGTCGAGAAAAGTCGTGTTAATTTATCTTGAATTTTCGCGACGACATGACACATCTCGTTTGCTCTCCAGCACACGAAATGAGCGAAATTAAGTTAAAAATTGTGCGCTGTGCAATTTCGCTCGCAGTTTTTGTCTCTTGCCGTTGGTTTGTTTGGTTACGTTTTTGCTCGCACTCACCATCTGACAAATCGTCAGTTACACACGCAACGCCGGTACCAAAAAAAGAAATAAGAACTGACCACGATCCGACGATTCAGCTGTTGCTTTTCAGCGCCATTGTGACAGATCGTGCACAGTTGAAACCACAAGACCACAGTTACGCGAACTTTTCAATCGGTCACATCTGGTTTTGTTCCAGGCTACGGAGAGAAGACTGAGAACTGTTCCACAATACAAAAAAAACATATATTACTATTACACAAAGGTGTTTTACCGGGACACAAATATACATACATACATATATATATATATATATATATATATATACATATATATATATATATAGGAAATGACCTTAATTTTCGACGCGTCTTGATGACCTGAGTAAGTAATTAGGTAATTAGGTTTACCTTTTTGACCTTCCGCTTAAAAGTACAGTCTGATATCATTTAAATATTACTGTGACATTGCAATGTAGTAATTTTGAGGAAAAGGTTTTACAATACTTCAAAAAAAGAATTTTATGTTATTTTATGTACAAAAAAGATATTATCTTATAAACATAGTATTTTTATTTATGCTATACTTAGAACCAGATCACGATCAGTTTGCGCGGCGTTCGATGGTTCTAAGGTATAATTCTCATTTACGGCGGACGACGGAACCGTTTCGGCGCTCGAGAGTAGCATCTGCATCGAGCCCTGCAGCTGCGTCAGGGCCACAATTAACTGTTCCTCTTCTTGTAATTTTTCCGCCAATATCGCCATCATTTTCCGCGGTTCTTCCGACAGTTCGTCCAAATGATCCTCGTACACATCTAACGAAGAAAGGCTAGTTTAATTAGAAAAAAAAAACACAAGACAACAACACCCTCCTAAAAACCGATATATACGAAATTTACCTAATAAAACATTTGCTACGTGCACCAACACTCTTCCGAAACGTATGCTGCCAATGTATTTGTTCAGAAATTTGATTATATTCACTAGCGATTTGCCGTCTCTACCGGCCAAGGCTCGTCTCAGGCCTTCCCGCCTGATGAGCTCCTGCGTGAGTGCGACAGTGACATGCGGCGTTTTGTTTACCACGTAATTCATCATCACGCAGTCCAACGCTTTGCTGTACTGGAATTTTCGCAGACACTCGTCGTGTTTGCTCATTATCTCCTTTACCTCCTGCTGCACGACCATGTCGACGCTCCGAACGTGCAGATTCTCACCCGCATGTCTGTACGACATCTTCTTACGTCTTGGCTTTATCGCATCTTTCGCGTCTTCCTCACGTCGCCGAACCGAAACCAGACCGTCCACCATACCGGCCACGATGGTCTCGTCGCCAGCCTGCAATTAACGCGTTTATTTGTACATTGTATTTTTGTACAAAGATTATTATTATTATTTTCAAACAAAGGATGCACTTAAATTGTTTCTTACACTAATTCCTACGCTCAGAACTGCGTTAGAATAATCTAAGGTGTGAAGCGTTTTGTAAGACCCGGCGTCGTAAATTTTCACATGTCTGTCCAACGAGCCGGATAATATCCTGTGACCGTTGGATGCGATTTTCAAACATGTGACCGTTTTATGATGTTGAGTGATTTTTGCCAGTAATTTGCCACCCGCGAGAGCGTCCCAGACTTTGATGTCAGTTCCGCCTGAGAAGCAAAATTGCAAGCATATGATGTATAGATCAGTAATAAACATAATTTAGACCTACGCAAAAGATGTGTCTATTAAGAATCAAACTTTGAAACCTTGCGAATTAGACACCGTACCTGCGGACAAGAATATTCCACCAGTGGGCAAGAAGAGCAAACTTTCCACCGGTGCATCGTGATTAACGCTAAGTATCTTTTTATTCGTTCTACTGTCGTACATGTGTACGATTTTGTCATATCCACCGGATATCAACACGTCAGTGGACACAGGACTCACAGCGCCAGCTCTGATGTAATCACTGTGCTCGTTAAAGCTCGTCAATTGTTTCTCGCTAGGTATGTCCCACAATACGACGCTTTTGTCATCGGAGAACGAAGCGATGTGAAGATCGTCGGCTGTAAAGAAGACTCTGTGAACCGCAGCCTTGTGACCGGAAAAAAGCCGTAACATGCTGTTCGAGCTGATGTTGAAGAGTCTGACCACCGCTTCCTCTCCCCCGGCACACAGCAGTTTGCCATCTCTGCGAAAGCAACTTCCATACGCAGCCTCTTTAAACCTGCTGTACGTTTTTGTCACCAGCTTTGTGATCGGATTATATACTTGCACTCTTACCGAGCAAGTAACAGCGAAGTAATGTGGTTCTACTGGTGAAAAGTCAATGTAATCTATTGGACCAAATTCCTTAAGCAAAACTGGAGCCTGCAAACGCATAAATTGCCATTTTTATCACAAACTTCCTCGAAAATCAACTTGTTTGCAATAAGGTTAAGAAGAGTCGCTTATAGGTTACGTTCGGCGCACGTGAAATTATAAGAAACAAAAATCATTTTTCCCGCATTATAAAAAACAAAAATTATTTTTCCCGCAAGAGCAAACTGTAAGCACAAAAACTACCGTATATTGCTTCCAGTATATGTTGTCTTCCGATAATTCCGGCCCAACTCTGGCAAACACCTTTGTGTTTACTTTCTTAAACGACGCCATAGTTCTTTACACTACGTTCAATTTCAAAAGAGAATTTTACCGCGCATAGAACATGGCATAAGGGAAAAAAAGCGGGCAAAGTAGGGTTCTATTCTCTGCGGATACTTTGGCTGCGTTTAACCCGTTCTACATTAGGTTTGTTCGCGTCGCACGCCCCAACGTGCTCCTACTCGCCTCAACGCGCCCTAACAGCGAATTCGGTAGCCCGGCATTACCGCGCGTTAAGTGCGACTTTTTTTATTGAAAAAGTTTATTAAAAAAGTTTTGAAGTTTCATTAAAGTTTCGTTGAAAAAAAGCGCGTTGGAGCGAATAGGAGCATGTTGGGTGCGTGCGACGCGAACAAACCTATTGATTGCAAGCGCAAACGCAAGGAATAGATCTCGTAGAATTGACCAATCACGCTCGTCAATTGGCAGATTTGATCAATACGATTAGTCAATTCTACGAGACCTGTTCCTTGCGTTTGCGCTTGCGATTAGTATAGAACAGCCTTAAGAGAATGTGTAATCACTTTTACGCCCCGTAAACTAGCGCATGTCCACGAGTGGTACACATTGGAACTACGCAGCCAGTTCACGAGCGACATGTCGGTATGTCTACAGCGTGCGGTTCTATTCTGTGCTATGTCCACGAGTTTAAATGGTCACTTTCTTTAAGTGTGTGAGTATATTCGAGAGCGTGAATTTGATTTTTTATGAAATTTAAAATGACCGATCTCGTGATGAGAAGATGAGAAAGGAAAACAGAAAAGGATGAGAAAAACCATTGCAACTTTTCGTACAACATAAATGTGATATACAAGAAAAGATGTGATAGTCAAGAAAAGAATCTTATTTTAGCGAGCAACATCAGAATTCGTGGAGTGTAGTCAAATATCATCTCCGTTTACATCATCATTTGCTGCTCTGTGCTTTATAAATTTTATTTTTTTTTTTCAAAAACTACATATATACGTATAACTACAAATTACACAAAAAGACATGTATATTACAAAGGTGTTTTGCCGATATACAAATATATACGTCTGAGAAGTTGCAATTCCAAAAAGGATATCTATTACTTTGCTTTATTACAATTCTTTATCAGTGTGTTTTCAATTTTCAAGTTTCATTTTACAATTTTTTATACATTATAACAGAATACAATAGTTTACATATATTACATATAACATACAATATAATACAATATTATACAATATACATAGTATATATAATCCTACCTACCTATCTTAAACATCTGACATATCTTAAACGTTACTAGCCACATTAATTAGGATTAAGGCTGCATAACAGCCTTGATCCTAATTGTACATTTTTATTTCTTCTATCTACCTATCTCCGATCTAACACACATATTTCTTACCTATCCGGCTTAATTTATTTTCTACAAGCGCTTGTAGATACGCATCCCTACCTACACAGATAACTACCTACCTACCTATTTACTTAGAAAAGTTTTAAAACCTATCAAATATTTTACGCGAGGGGCAATTGTTTTAAAATTAAAAAATAATATTTTAGATATATTTTAGTTTCACGTCCGAGTTTTGTTTTAAATTTTATGATTGAAAGAAGAATTATATCCACCCGATAAATCCCATTGTGTATAATTAGAAGAGATAGAAATATTAATATTCTATAATAGATAGAAAAAATATATATTTTAATATATATTTTTTAATATATATATTTCAAATATATATTTTTGCGAAGATAAAATAGAAAAGAATAAAAATGTAGAGAATAAGTCTCCAAAAAAAGATTCTATATCGGTTCTTTACGAGAAATTGATATAGAAATATAAAAGTGGATGTAGAAAAAAGATATAAAGAATATACGTCTTTAAAAAAGAATTCTATATCAGTACTTTAAGAGAAATTGATATAGAAATATAAAAGTAGAAATGTAGAAAACACAGATAAATATATATATTTAAAAGAATATAAAAAAAATATATAAAAAAAATTAAAAAAGCACATATATAAAAAAAATATTACAATATACAAATAAATGGAAATTTCATCAAAAAAGAATCGTCACTCCCTACGTATAATTATATAAGTGTCACATACCGAATTTTCAGTTTATTGCATAATGATACTTAAAGTCATGTTCTTTATGGTCACCAAATATTAAAAAAAATATTCATAAAGTAAAAATTTAAAACCGAAAGATCCCTTAACTAGGGAAACTATATGAA